GATTTGAAAAATGTCAAATGCTTTCTGATGGCGTAAAAGCCTTCTCTAGCTTTAGCCAATCAGCGCCAGGTTAACCTCAAGCCCCACCAGGAGCTATTCAGGGCCGAACGGAGCACCTAGCATGGAGAAGGTACTCTGTTGGGCCCCGTAAAAATTCCTGTAAATGGCCCTGTGGGGGAAGTTCCTGCATTGTGCATGTCTTCACGTGTGCTTGTCTTCACTGCAGGACACGCACGTTGGTACGTGCTGGGTAATTTTACAGAGGCTGGCCCTGTAAAGTTACTTCGAAGTTCTTGCGTTGGAAATGCGGCTCTTCCTACATCTCCAAAGTATTAAACAAGCAAAAACATGATTGTGACTTTAAACAAATGCAACAATTTTTTACACAATTCCGAACAACAAACTGTCCACCGACAGTGAAATGAAAGCCTTGTGTGCCCGTCAATCGCTTTGCCCAGTGGATGTTTGCTGATGTCTGCCTCCCATCTCATGTTGTAGCTTACAAAATGGTTCCTCTTTGCATCATTTAAGTTTTTAAGCCTTTTGCTTTTTTCCCTCCGACAACATGAAATGGTGCGCAGCATTTCTTATTGTGATAAAAATGTCAAATCGCCCAGCACTAGTTGGTAGTTGTGCCTTACCGTTTCCATTCTTGGTTTATCAATTAAACAATGCTCTTAACAATTCCCGAGCTCACAGCATGGGAATTGTTTGAACAACTTGGCGATGCTCTCAACTTCTCCCCAACTTCATCCCAGAACTCGCTGGTATATTCTTTGGACAGTATGATGCCGCGACCAATATTCTCTAACCAAACCTCTGAGGGTATCGCAGAGACAGCCGTCTCTGAGATTACATTACAATCAGGTGTATTCTCTTCATAGTTAGAAAGTTTCCTGATGAATGTTGACCTAAGTCCAGTGCTAAGCCATGGTTTTAAAGGAGCTATACCCGTTTCTGCAAGGTTTTTTTTTTAGTTTGAATGTTAAGCACCACCCCCCAACTCGCTCACAGGCTTCTCACTTCCTTTACGCCAGAGGTGTCCAAACCGGTCCAGAAAGGGACGCTGTGGCTGCAGGTTTTCTATCAGACCCAGCAGGAGCAGAGGAGACTCCTCCCATTTCCTCAAGTGAGTTTAGTCTTAACCTGAAGATTTGATGCCCTCTCCGGGCCGGTTTGGACACCTCTGCCCTACACTCTCATCCCACGGAGCCCTCTAGTTTTATTTGCGATCTGATACGTGTGAAAACAAGGGCATTAGCGCAACTTCTTGTAAGCTGTACAACAATCACTGATGAAATGGTAAAAGCAACGCATTGCTAACAAAAAATATAACTGAAAGATTACCGCTAGTTTTGCGTCCAAATGTAGTCCAAGCATAGCTAGTCCGAGGCGATCCGCTCACGCAGGTCTCCCCAGAGGATACGATGTAAGCTAACACTGCGTATATTCCCCTGTGCTTGAATTTTTCTTTGATCATTTTTTCACTTTAGTTCCCTCTTCTCTTTTTCACTGATGCGTTGTTTGGGCTGTTTTGCTGTTTATGCAGTTACAGCCAGAGGAGCTATAGCCGCTATCAGCTCCATGCTGCTCTTGTTTACCTGCGCTGTAGAGGATGCAGCCTGTTCGTAACAGCACCTCTCCTCGTTCTGTGAGAGGAGGAGAACTAGCGTCACGCCAAGTTTCTACTTTTTACGTCCTGAATTCATACACAAGCTGAATCAATGAGCTCAAGTTTTCAAATAAATTAAGGATTTTAATACAACTTGTATGTAGTAATACGCATTTTTATGAACTCATTAGAAAATAAATCGGATATAGCATCTTTAATGCCATGTGACGTGTTTTTGAGTGTTTTGAAAAGCGCTTAATAAAACCAATGCATTATTATTATTATTATTTATGGGTACTTAAATCTCATTAACTTCCTCTGGATGATCATGTGAACCCAGACACGCCACCAAGCCTAGTTGTTGAAGAACTTTTTACAAGGTACACGAGCCTGAGAAGAAGAAAAGCCCAACCAAATCTTTTAAATAATGAATCCACTTTAACATCTAGTCTTTCTTACAAAAACTACTTTTTAAGCCTCTGTAGTTTCTTTTGTTTACAAGTAAAATATTTGATATGATGGTTTATCCTGAAGACAACAGAGTAGTCTTGCTGGATCCTGTTGCAGACAAAGATGACTGGTGAAGTTACTGAAGCTGAAAGCAAAGAGCGTCAGGCTCAAAATCCGTCATGAGTCCTTTGTGTTGACGGACTGAAGGTCAGTGTGTTTGACAGTGTTTTCACAAGTAACTGGCGTGCCTCTTGAGCCAAGGTCCCCACTGTGTTTGTTTGTTGGAGACATTTTAGAAACCCTCCCTTTAACTAAACCCAAAGCTTTCTGACAATCATCCTTGTGGCCTTATACAAAAATCAACATCACCTGTGACCTGGGGCCTCCCTGGTCCACTCAGGAGCAGGCCTCCTGCAGGGCTGGGCCGATGCGAGGGGGGTCCAGTGTTCAGTTTGTCATGCTAATAAGCTGGACTAACCTTAATGACCCAGACATCTGCTGGTCTACGTGTGTCAAGCCCCACATTCAATTCAGTCCCTCGATACAAAAAGCAGATTAAGACCCTTCAGGCAACAGGAATGTGTGTGTGTGTCTTGTTGAAACAGCTTTTATTTCAATCCATGTAGGTTACTAGAGAAATAATTAGCATTGAAGGGAGGTGTGCTCTATGCGCCAGAATCATGGTGTGCGTACATACAAACACTACTGTGCACTGGCAAGATTATTTTTTTTAAATGTGTGTGAGTGTACGGCAAAGACCAAAGATGGGGGGAGGGGGAGTTTGTTTAATGGGCGAGACAGGGGACCATGGGGATTAAGCCCCCCCTCTCTTACCTCAGCTGGGGGCTTTTGAGGAACGACTGGGGGCTGTTCTGTTAATTCAAGTGGGCTTAATAATGCCTGTGCACCCTGTGCCCCTGACCCTCCCACCACTACATCAGATCTGGGAGGAAACCATGATAAAGGGACACAAGGCAGAGGCGGGGGGCGAGTGTGTGAGTGTGTACAACCTGTGGCCGTCTCAACGTGGGGCAGGGGTTCAAGGGGGAGGGGGTGCTTGATAAATGCTCTGTTGTTCCACTTTCTAGTCATTGCCAGCTTTGTTGAAACCGCACTAAGGATTAATCAACAGCTCCTACACTTGTACCAAATGAGCCCATTCTGACCAACATACGCACAAAAGTTTAGAAACTGAGGCTTGAGATACAATAATAGATGAAAAGATCAATACCTAAAAAGAATGTGTAAACATTACTCAAGATATTCTAACAGTATCCAATAACACAGTTGAGATGTATGTTGCATTGTTTTTAGATTTTCATTATGCATTGTTTGAGGTAAATGCTGGATGGTGAGACCCCGGCTGAGCCATACCAAGCGATTGAATAGTCTTTATAAAATTTCATCTTAAAAACTATCCATCAAGTGCAAGTCAATATTGCACAACCTGTAAAAATATTGTCCATTGAAATAATGCTGCTTTAGTAGTTGTGTCAGCAGTCGACACAACATGAAGCCAGTCAGTACCACATGAGCTCATTAGGTCTTATGTTTTAACAAGGTGCAGAGATAAAAGATAACAGAGTTCATTCACAAAAATTAAATCCTGAGGATTCACTTTTTTACTGAGAAGCAATCTTCGCTTTCACTAAACATAAAACTATTCAGTAGTATTAGACTAAAAAGGGTGAAAAGACTTTTTACCTGAACATTATTTTAAAAAACAAAGTATGAGCACATTTTAAAACCTGTTTTCGTAAACCAAAGCCACATTCCTCCATCCGAAATCACAGATTACCCATATCTATTTCCTTGAATCTACAGTTGTGTTGAAACTTAAGGTTTGACCAATGAGCTGAGAGTCCTCCTCACTGATGAATGCATGTTCTTGACATTTTGTTACCATGGAAACTTGAAGAGAATAGATTACATTGTTTATCAAATTGAATATAAAACAACATACATGATAAAGTACATTATTATACTGTAATAACGTGATTTTGTACTTACTACAACCTAAATGGCAAGCTTGATGATGCTTATTCAATTGCTCAAGTAAAGACCTTTGCCTCATGTTGGTTTGGAAGACATTCAGCTGCATTAATCCTTATTATGTTATTATTTCATAAGATTATTCTTACATTTCATTATGAGATTTGATCAACATTCTGGAGGAGAAAAAAGCACTGATGGGAAGCAGCTTGAGGACATTCTAATACATTGTCCAGACAAAACTAGAGACACATATTTTCAGTTAATCTCTTTATTAACTGATTGTTCCATTTGAGTCTTAGAATCATGAAACAAAGCACATACATGTATTGGAGTCTGGTGTATTTAGAGCGGCTAACAATGAATTACTAAAATAGTTGAGAATTATTAGTTAGTGGTTAATTGTTACACCCCAGAACACTCATAAAGGCTTACTAGTAGATGATAAAATGGTGCTGCACTTTAACACTGGACAGTTTGGTATACTGATGCACGTATGCCACCAATATACCACACTCCAGGAGTTAGTTTTATCGTTGCAACAAAAAAGTAGTAGCCAATTGCTCATCTTTATGGAGTTGCTCTGGTTCTATGCCATTTCAGGGACACGGTAATCCAATGGAGCACCTTAAACATTATGCTGAACAAGACCAGGCATCAGCTGCAAAATAATTCAACTCTAAACTCTTACGTCACCTTACGTCAAACGTGCAAAAAATCCTATTTTAGTGTGTTATCGTTGGGTTCAGCTTCTCAAAATTCAGATTCATTTTATTTGCCATTTGCAGTCAAACCACAATGGAATACATTTGCAAAAGTACCACATGAGCTACGTTTATGCAACATTGTGGCCACATTCCCTGGTCATGTTGATTTGATTATTCATAAACCCAGCATAAAACCCAACGTAAATACAATATTATCTGTGTATAAATAAGCCACTTACTGAGTGTCTTGATTGTGGAAACATCATGACAGTTGCTTGCTGGTGTCGCCCGTCCAGAACACGGCCGTGCCTTGTAGTTTAACAGTATTTTCCTTTGTCCAAAGCGTCAAATGTGACCAGAGACGGACCTGTCCAGCGCTGGCAGACTGATAAAGACTGATACAAGCTATGTGCAGCTATCGTCCGCCTGCTGCCCCTAAAATGGAGACACTTTAGAGCAGCGGTAGAGATGAAATACTAATATCTTCGTGGATTTATTGCGCTGAAGAAAGCACCATTTGAGGCCAGCGCCAATCTGGGCCAAAGCGCAGTCTACAGCGGCAGTCAGACAGGAAAAGGATTCATACGTAGCACAACGCTGGGGAAATTAATAACGCTATGTCTGCAAATGGTTTCTCCCTTCGCCTAAAGTGGCTGTTCGTTTCACAACAACTAAAACAAAGATTATAATTTTTAAAGTCCGGCAATCCTTACAAGAAGCAGAAAAATGTAAAGCCGAGTCTACAAACGGCAAGCACTTATACTTTGCTTTAAAATGTTCCCAAGCAGGCGAGTGTTATCCCTTTGCGCTGGTAATCCTGGAGAAGCAATCTCAGCGATGGGCTAGAAAAGTCTGGATAAATGCGATAGGTGCGACGCGTTTGGAGATGAACGCCCACATGGATCTGTTATGTGTGGGTGTGTGGCGCCCCCTGTAGGCTGGACGAGTGCTGCAGCTGTTTTTTTTCAGATCTCCAGTGGGTTGTGTTATGTTCATGAACCGTAGGTGTGTGTACAGATACTGTCTATTTTTATGTTGCAGAATTGTATGTCCAAAGGTTTTCCCAGATCATTGTTTGATAGTGATTAGTTACTATTATTATGTCTTCTACAAGTCAAAGTAATATTATTTGAATGTTGAAATGATAAGACCATAGTAGACATCAAACTTACAGATGGAGAGAGCCTTCATGGCTAAATCTGGCATATGGACACGGACACATGTTGATTAATCAGTACGTTCATGTTGCATGTGGATTAGACCACAGAAAAATTAGCTCTAAACTAAGACTAAATGTTACTTTTGACAGTAACCATTTGTTACTGGATAGATTTTGGCTACACTTCACCACAATTTCCTTGGTGTCACATAAACTTCTTGCTGTTTTCAGATACAAAAAAAGCTCTCATCTTTGGCCAAACTGATCGTGGTCTCATGCTTCATTTAAAATCCAAGAATTGCAAGTATAATTTGATAAAATAAAAATGACTTACCGAAGAACACAAACATTTCACAAATTCATCAACTGCAACGTAAATTCCACTACAAAATGCACGATATAATACTGTTATATGTTCTTATATTTGTACTCTTTTAAAAGTTCTAAATAGTGTTCTTAAATATGTGGTGCCTAACTTTCAAACCTCATGAAAAACTATGTAATAAAATAGTTTTGTAAAGTTTTTTCTTTGGCCTCTGCCAAATATCTATCGGCTTTTTCCAGACAGATCAGTCACATGGGTGGAGCTCGGAGTAGAGCTGTTGCTTCTCCACGTCTGGAGAAGCCAGTTGAAGTGGCTCAGACATCTGTTTTGGATGCCTCCTTGAAGCCTCTCTGGGGAGGTGTTCCGGGCAGGAGACCAGGGGAAGACCCAGGGGGAGGGAGTATGATGTCTCTCAGCTGGCCTGTGAACGCCTGGATGAGCTGGAGGACGTGTGTGGGGAGGAAGTCTGGGTATCTCTGCTTCGAATAAAGCAGAAGAAAATGGATGGATGTTTTTGTTAGTTAGGTCAAATATACCCATCAAACTGGAAAGCTCAATATGAAGATATATCCCCTCTTGTTTCCAGTCTATTAAAAACATCCTGGAATGAATCAGTAGCAATTTTATATATATTTTGCCTGGATCTTTTTACTTTAGTACAACTTCCTAAATCTAATTTTCAGTGAAATATGGCTCAGGTGTGAAAGGGTAATAAACCCATCATTCTACAAAATGGATCTCCAACCTTGAAAAAGGCAAAGAGCTACTACTTTGGGAAGAAATTAGTGATATAGAAAGCTGGCCTTTGATGAGGTTAATATCAGTGCACATATTTCGTATCATCATAGTATAATCAGTATAACAGTATAATCATAACCAGCAAAGTATGTTATTTCTAAATCCTTAGGGGATTGATCTAATTGGAACATGAGCTACTGTAGCTCAGAGAACTCCGTCCAACAGAGACAGACACCAGCTGTACCAGTGGAGGGCCAACCACCGCCTGCAGCCCAGTCGAGGCCCTTTGGACGTTTGTCAGGCACTTTCTATTCACTTGGGTCAGGCCCAAAAGATGCCAAAAAGATTAAGATTAAGAGATACTTTAAACGTCCCACATGGGGAAATTTCAGTGTTGCATCACAAGTTAAAAAAACAATAGGAATGAGGCGCACAAGACAAGTGAACAATAGCTGAACTAATTAAAATAAAAAAATTCTCTAACTCTAGAATCAAAGGACAAGTATAAAATCTTGAACACAAGAGTATAAAGTTTTATAGTTGGCAAAATAAGAGGCAAGTATAAAGTACTTACAGCATACTGCTGCTGATCTGTACATTAGCAGCAGTATGTTTACATCTGTGCATTAGCAGCAGTATGTTTACATCTGTACATTAGCAGCAGTATGTTTACATCTGTGCATTAGCAGCATGTTTACATCTGTACATTAGCAGCAGTATGTTTACATCTGTACATTAACAGCAGTATGTTTACATCTGTGCATTAGCAGTATGTTTACATCTGTACATTAGCAGCAGTATGTTTACATCTGTACATTAGCAGCTGTATGTTTACATCTGTGCATTAGCAGCAGTATGTTTACATCTGTGCATTAGCAGTATGTTTACATCTGTACATTAGCAGCAGTATGTTTACATCTGTACATTAACAGCTGTATGTTTACATCTGTACATTAGCAGCTGTATGTTTACATCTGTGCATTAGCAGCTGTATGTTTACATCTGTGCATTAGCAGCTGTATGTTTACATCTGTACATTAACAGCTGTATGTTTACATCTGTACATTAACAGCTGTATGTTTACATCTGTGCATTAGCAGCAGTATGTTTACATCTGTACATTAACAGCTGTATGTTTACATCTGTACATTAGCAGCAGTATGTTTACATCTGTGCATTAGCAGTATGTTTACATCTGTACATAAGCAGCAGTATGTTTACATCTGTACATTAACAGCTGTGTGTTTACATCTGTACATTAACAGCTGTATGTTTACATCTGTACATTAACAGCTGTATGTTTACATCTGTGCATTAGCAGTATGTTTACACCTGTACATTAGCAGCAGTATGTTTACATCTGTGCATTAGCAGCAGTATGTTTACATCTGTGCATTAGCAGTATGTTTACATCTGTACATTAACAGCTGTATGTTTACATCTGTACATTAACAGCTGTATGTTTACATCTGTACATTAACAGCTGTATGTTTACATCTGTACATTAGCAGCAGTAGGTTTACATCTGTGCATTAGCAGTATGTTTACATCTGTACATTAACAGCAGTATGTTTACATCTGTACATTAGCAGCAGTATGTTTACATCTGTACATTAACAGCTGTATGTTTACATCTGTACATTAACAGCTGTATGTTTACATCTGTACATTAGCAGCAGTATGTTTACATCTGTACATTAGCAGCAGTATGTTTACATCTGTGCATTAGCAGTATGTTTACATCTGTACATTAACAGCTGTATGTTTACATCTGTACATTAGCAGCAGTATGTTTACATCTGTACATTAGCAGCAGTATGTTTACATCTGTGCATTAGCAGCAGTATGTTTACATCTGTACATTAGCAGCAGTATGTTTACATCTGTGCATTAGCAGTATGTTTACATCTGTACATTAACAGCTGTATGTTTACATCTGTACATTAACAGCTGTATGTTTACATCTGTACATTAGCAGCAGTATGTTTACATCTGTACATTAGCAGCAGTATGTTTACATCTGTGCATTAGCAGCAGTATGTTTACATCTGTGCATTAGCAGTATGTTTACATCTGTACATTAACAGCTGTATGTTTACATCTGTACATTAACAGCTGTATGTTTACATCTGTACATTAACAGCTGTATGTTTACATCTGTACATTAGCAGCAGTAGGTTTACATCTGTGCATTAGCAGTATGTTTACATCTGTACATTAACAGCAGTATGTTTACATCTGTGCATTAGCAGCTGTATGTTTACATCTGTACATTAGCAGTATGTTTACATCTGTGCATTAACAGCTGTATGTTTACATTTGTACATTAACAGCTGTATGTTTACATCTGTACATTAACAGCTGTATATTTACATCTGTGCATTAGCAGCTGTATGTTTACATCTGTACATTAGCAGCTGTATGTTTACATTTGTGCATTAGCAGCTGTATGTTTACATCTGTGCATTAGCAGTATGTTTACATCTGTACATTAACAGCAGTATGTTTACATCTGTGCATTAGCAGCTGTATGTTTACATCTGTGCATTAGCATCTGTATGTTTACATCTGTGCATTAGCATCTGTATGTTTACATCTCTGCATTAGCAGCTGTATGTTTACATCTGTGCATTAGCAGCAGTATGTTTACATCTGTGCATTAGCAGCAGTATGTTTACATCTGTGCATTAGCAGCAGTATGTTTACATCTGTGCATTAGCAGCTGTATGTTTACATCTGTGCATTAGCAGCAGTATGTTTACATCTGTGCATTAGCAGCTGTATGTTTACATCTGTGCATTAGCAGCAGTATGTTTACATCTGTGCATTAGCAGCAGTATGTTTACATCTGTGCATTAGCAGCTGTATGTTTACATCTGTGCATTAGCAGCTGTATGTTTACATCTGTGCATTAGCAGCTGTATGTTTACATCTGTGCATTAGCAGCTGTATGTTTACATCTGTGCATTAGCAGCAGTATGTTTACATCTGTGCATTAGCAGCAGTATGTTTACATCTGTGCATTAGCAGCAGTATGTTTACATCTGTGCATTAGCAGCAGTATGTTTACATCTGCATTAGCAGCAGTATGTTTACATCTGTGCATTAGCAGCAGTATGTTTACATCTGTGCATTAGCAGCAGTATGTTTACATCTGTGCATTAGCAGCAGTATGTTTACATCTGTGCATTAGCAGCTGTATGTTTACATCTGTGCATTAGCAGCAGTATGTTTACATCTGTGCATTAGCAGCTGTATGTTTACATCTGTGCATTAGCAGCTGTATGTTTACATCTGTGCATTAGCAGCAGTATGTTTACATCTGTGCATTAGCAGCTGTATGTTTACATCTGTGCATTAGCAGCTGTATGTTTACATCTGTGCATTAGCAGCTGTATGTTTACATCTGTGCATTAGCAGCAGTATGTTTACATCTGTGCATTAGCAGCTGTATGTTTACATCTGTGCATTAGCAGCATGAGGCTCTGTTCAGTGGCAGTGACATGAGGTTAATGCACATTCTGAAGAGTTAAGGATATTGCTCCTTAAATTGCAAAGGTCAGAAGGAGCTGTCTTATATGAATACAGATATAGCCACTGCTTCTGTATTTTGACAATTCTGTAATGAAAATGTCTTAGTTTATTGAAAAAAGGGCCATATTGAGTCTATAGATTCACAAACTGAATTAACTGAATATTTGAGTATGGCAAAAATCTGAAAACCAAAACAAAAGTTAAGAAACCAGACAAAAGAACATTTGATGAGGGAACATTGATGGTCAATAGATAAAAGTTGGCCAATTTTAACACCTGCCCTATTTTGCATCGACTGAACATAACATTCATAAGAGCTAAGATGAAACACTACCATTAATGAAACCGTTACACACATAAACCCATCGTCTGCAAAACAACAGAAGAACAAGTGACACAGTAAGAGTATATGAACATATTTATTCCAATTTCAAACATTTAAAAGGAGAAGGCTATGAAAATCATTTTCATGTAGAATGAGGTTCAGGCAACAGTGGTTGAAATGAAATATACAAAAAGAGAAATATGGCTAAAATACTGTAAATTAATAACGATTAGGACCCTTCATGAGGGTGCTGCAGGAATACAGTACCGAATCACCCACAACAGTCCCAACCTGACAAAGACATGCAATTAAAATGACAAGAAAAACAGCAGTGCATTGTTAATCAGATATAGAATTGTCCACCATACATCTAGTGTTTGTTTTAAAAATTGGACCATTCAAATCACTGGTCCTCATATTTTTGACAACATTGGCACTTGTTAAAAGTCTGGCATTACAAAGAAAGGGGGTTGGCACACTCATTGTACATCATTTACATTTGGTATAGTATAAGTAAAAAAAGAAAAATACATCACTTTCATTTTGTACACCACTAAACAAAGTTTATTCCATCTTTTTATAAAGTCATTATAAGTGGTCCTAAATACATGTTAAGGTGCATCAACCTTAGACACAAATATATGCAAAGAGAGCTTCAATATCACTGTATAGCCCACCCCTCAAACCAGAATGGAGGTCAAGCAAAAGCCACAGCCATCAAAAGTGTTCATATCCAGACACGCTTGCATACGCCTTCGTACCGATGAGCACAGTTTAAGTTTCTCTGACTAAAGGAAAGCAAACGCAGTCCAATCAAGTCAGGACATGGACAAAATGTAAACAATAGTCATGTATTTACTAGTTATCACAACCACCATCGCAAATAGTTAGCCTTTCCAGTACTTTCACTTTGAGAGAAGGATCAAGGCCGCTTTATTTGGAAAGAGAAGTGGTTGGACAAGCTCAAGACAGCTTTTCTGTAGATAATGAAATATAGATTTTTCCCAAAGTATAGTCGTTAAGAGAAGCATGAAGAAATAACGTGCCGCAGCTGAGACTTCACTTATTAGACACAAACCATTTCACCCTTTCATTTACAGACTTTGCCCCGCATTTTGGTGCAAAAAGAATCGCTCAAAAATAATTCAGAATCTAACCAAGAACAGTACCAAATCGAAGCTCTCGAGGTTCTTTCTGATTCTTCAATGACAAACACAGGCCAGTGATCAACAAGAGCCACTAGACTTAGGAATGTGATAAAGAAAAGGTGGTCCTCCTGAACAATCTCCAAACACACCTTTCAAACCATCTTCATTGATTGCACCTGGTTTTCTCCATGGTGCCCTTTCACTCCATTCTGCTAGTAATAGCCCTTTCAATGAAAGTTATGAAAACTTACCTGAATTACATTGTGAAGACAAAAATAGCAATCTCTCATCTTTCAATTAAATATTTTACGACCAGGGCGAGAGACGCGATATGGGATTGGTGCAAACAGCCATCACATGTCCTTAAGATTACAGTACAAAAATGAAAGCCAATATTCAACCACCAAGTTTTTTTGTCAGATTTTTTCCTATTTGCTAAAAGCACACATCTGAAATGAAAGCAGTTGGAAAAGCAAAAAATAATATGAAGTATAATTAGAAAGATTATTCTTAAAATACTTTAGATCATTTACAGCAGTATAAAAGTTGCCTCCCATTTCTGGGTTGGAAAAACTTTGGATTGTAACTAGGGAGAAAATGTATTATTTTTTTTAACACATATAGATCTGATTGATAAATTATACATAGGCCACAATAAAAACAATTTACTCTCTTGCTATAATACTATGAAACAAAGTCAGTACAATCCGAGTGATCAACTAGTGACTTAAGTATTAATCAGAACTAGGTATTGCACTGTACGTATCGGTTTATATCGTTCACGTTTTGCACAGGAAGAGATCATTACCATCAGTGAGAACATCAAAGTACTAATACGTGTTGTGATCCAGACAGAAGAGAAATGTCATACAAACTGAACATCCAATAAAAGAAAACATTTGCTTTTGGCAATAAACGCCTCAATTCAGCACATGTGCAAAATACATTAGAAGGATTCTGGCGACTAAAATATTTACAGATTTTGTTTGTTTTGGCTATATCAGAAAACATGGTAAAAGACTTCTCAGTCTCCACCTGTTGTCAGTGCAGGTACACTAAAAAAGTTGCCTTTATTTTAGAGAAGTGGGTGAAGCTTAAGGTTTCAGAAAGTCAAATATCCAACGGCAAATTCCCATAGGGATTTTGAAAAACAATTCTTACCAAAGATTGTGGGGCGGGGGTGATCCGCCATCACAAAGTAAACATGTAATTGCGTTTATTTCAGCCAAAGCCACCACACTGTAGATGGTACTAGCAGGCAGCTAGTTAGCCTCTTGATATTTGGAATTTTAAAACACAGAGTTTATGAAAACTAAGCTCCGCCCACTTTGCAGCTCTATAGAAGAAACACATATTCCGCGCCAATATGGAATTATAGGTATAGTATATAAAACAAATACTCCAATCGGCTTTATACTGCATCGAAAGAAAGGACAAGTATTTACATTCAACAGGCTGTGATAGTGAACGGTTATTCATGTAAATTAAATGCACGACTGAAGCGAGATCCGAAGACACTATCTCAGTATCGTGAATGTTTGAGCAGCATCAAATGAAGCTTGCCATTTGCTCGTGTTGTAGTGTACGTCGTGAGTGGATACAAAAGTAAAGAAGTGAGCCCTTTTTGAAGAGTCAAACAAGAAGAGGCCCCATACCCATCCCAAACGCTCCGGAAGGGGTTAGAACTAGTGTTTAGTAGAGTGTCGAGGTGAACACATTCATGAGCAAAATATAGTAGTATATTTAACCACGCAACAACGCAACTACGCATTAGACCAGAAACAAAGTGAAACTCTCAGTCCCCGCTTCAAGCAGAGGCTGTGTTTATAACCAAACCGCACTGAGTTGGGCTGCAGGACTCCACTGTTCTCTTCTTTGTTCCTTCCCGTTTATTTTTCAAACCAAGTTGTATTCTTTGAGATTGAGCTGGAGGATGGTGTCTTTGACCGCCGCAAAGACAAAGCGGATGTTCTCCGTGTCAGTAGCACATGTAAAATGAGAGTAGATGATCTTGTCGCTATCCGGATTCAAGTCCACAAACATCTTCAGGATGAACTCTCGGCCCGCCACAGGATCCCGTTGAGGACCTGAGAACAAAGAGAAGATGTGAGTTTAGCTTTTGTTTAGCCTCATTCACTTTTAAAATCCCATAACAGTTGTACAATACAAAAATATAGAACACGTAGGTATTGGTCCATAGTGGGAGTTGACCAATGTCCATGAATGTTGATAAAAAGAAGAAACTAATACAAAAACCCATAAACCATCTCCTCCTAGGAGGATGTTGACTGCAAGAAAAAGATCCGGTCACACTTTTTCATATACATTCACACCTCCAAATCCCTCAGGCAAGCAGGACCACTGCCCAGTCCCTGGCTTTCCTGTTGGCTTTCAGCCAGGGGGTCCTACAGCAAAACTGGTTTATCCCCCCGCTTACCCACTAGGGTCGCGTCAGTCCATGCATTCAATCACGCTCCATGCTTCCCTATCTCGCTTCCTCCACTGTCATACCCCTCACATTCAACAGCCTCTTCATGCCATCATTCCATCCATACTTTGGCCAACCTCACCTTCTACTACCACTCATGCAACTATTCATTCACTCTCTTCGTCAATCCCTCTTCATCCAGTCTCTGCATATGCCCGCACCATCTCAGTACACATGCATCTGCTCTACCAGCCAGGTCACCGGGTTAGGACACACCTGTTCTCCACCCAACTGTAATAATCCACAATCTATCTATCATACTTCAAACACATTACATTTCTTCCTTTCACTTTCTCTCATACCTCAAGTTTCCCACAAGTTTGTGAGTGAAAAAAAACAACATTTTCAATTCTATTTCATAATAAAAGTGAGGTATCATGTACATGATCAAACAAGAGGAACTTCCATTGCTTCTTATACATGAGAGCAACAGAACACCATGTGTTTAGCAAGAAAAGCTTAGGCCTTTGTCCCAGCAATAAGAAAGAAAGGTTAGTCTGTCAGGAGCAGAGAGAGCCACAGGTATTTTACAGACTGCAGCATCTTCAACTTGACAACTGTTGAAACCACAGTTTGTTAAGAATTTGGTTCAAAGTGCCGTTCTCTTCTGATTTAGAGACTGATTTATTCTACTAGCAGTTTGACAAAGGAGGAACAAACACTATGTTTAAGAGTGACCTCTGAGTCGATTCCCCCCGAGTTGGACAACTCAAAGAGCTTCTTGTTTCACAAAACAAGTGGGAGGGTTGTTTATTTTCATTATCAAGAAATTCCATAAAAGAGTTTTTACCATAGTAACAACCCCATTTCAGAAGAATAGGAAGTAGGGCTGGGCGATTAATCAATTTTAATCATTAATTCGAGTTTTACGTTTAGGGAGATTTCTTTTTTTTTTAAATTCGATTTTTATTTTCTCCAGCGCAGAACTACAGCGCTAACGCGCTAACCGCGGGTCTATGGTGTTGAGCAGTCATTTTGAAGCTAACCTAATGCGAACAGTCTCCCTCTGGCCTGATGCTCGCTCTCACAGTTGGTGCTGTTGCAATAACACTTCAAACGTTCAAGAATCAGACTTTATTTAAATCGCCAGAACACACACACACACACACACGCACGCAGGCTCCGGTCGCTATGTTTGTACGCCATGTTTGTACGCCACATCTTTCACGCTCTCTCACGCTCGTTATTCCAAAGCGCACTCCCGTGTCCGTGGCGCGCACACACTCGTGTCCCACTGAGCCGCTGCACTTTGGGGAAAGACACGTCTCACACATTGCTCTCATTGCTCTGATACAAACAACGTGTTCCCCGCTGTCTGTTAGCTACAGTAGCTGTTAGCTACAGTAGCTGCTACAGTAGCTGTTAGCTACAGTAGCTGCTACAGTAGCTGTTAGCTACAGTAGCTGCTAGCTACAGCATCAGAATGTAAACATTTTCACTGTTTACAATGGCAGAGCCATCTCGTTTACAAGCATGTTTTAAGGCTTAATTCCTGTTACACTTATGCTCCATGGGGATTTAGATTAAACTGCATAAAGGAAAATCTATTTCTTTGTCAGTTGTAGTTTGTTTTTAAATAGAAAAAAATAAATCGATTAAAATCGAAAATCGGATTTGGTGTGAAAAAATCGGAGATTTTTTTTTTTGCCATATCGCCCAGCCCTAATAGGAAGTTACATGATCCATATGGAATTCTGGAAGAAGCAATGGTCAAAAGTACTATAGAAACTCCTACTCCTACTACACACCTGCCTATTCCCCACAAGGTTATTGTGAGTCATTTCCCTCAGCTCATCCAGGGCATTACCAAGCCAGCTGAGCGACAAGACCTGGTGTGTCTGGGTCTGTGTCAGAACACCTCTGTAGGGAGGCATCCAGGAGGATTTCAAGATCAAAATCCTTTGTTAAAGTATTTTATGCATTTCACTATGTAATCCGAGGGCTGCTTCCCAAAAAGATCCTGCTTCAGGAAACTAACAGTGATTCAGTTCATGATCATAATTGTAGTTTTTATAGATCGATTTCACAGTTTGTATAGGGTTGCAAAATCCCTTTCCCTCACTAAAGAGCGATGGACTCTACCCTGGGGACCTTACGCAAAAAGGACGAAAGGAGATTAGCGCAAAAAAAGAATGGCCAAATTCACATTTGGAATGAAAAAAATATTTTTTTTACCCCAAGGTTTCCCATTGGGGTAGGGAAACCTTTAACTATGAACCAAAACAATATTTTATCATAATTAACAAAACAGAAATTCACCATCAAACTCTGGGAAGTAGTCAACCAGGTGAGAATACAAAATCTTCTCCTCCAGAAGGTCTTTTTTGTTGAGGAACAGGATGACAGAAGAGTTCTGAAACCAGGGATATGTGATGATGGTCCTGAACAAGGCTTTACTCTCCTCCATTCGATTCTGAAAAGAGAATTGTTCAATATTTATTGTGTATTTATACAGGTAGATCAATTAAAAACAAATTAAGATTTAAAGACATGAATAGTCCAGGTATGGATAAAAAATAACTAAAAATCGCTGATCAGTATAAATGAAAAAGAAAATGTTCACATTATTCATAGAATAAATTGTATTAAGAAAGGAGCTTATAAACTTTCTGCACAACTAAGCTCTGATAATTTTACACAGTATTTGTCCTTGTACATTCCTGTCATTTATAAAAAGAACAAGTATAGAAGGCAGTTTTTAATAGAGCACAGTTAACAATTGTAATTATAGTAACTAATTTGTATTACAACTAAACAAAATATATATACAGCGACTTGAAAATGCACTAATCTTTAAACATTTTGTTCACAATGATTTTTTTTTTTCCTTTATAAGAGCAAACAAATGTGTGCCATAAATAATTCAATTTTGGTCTCATCAGACCACAGCGTAATATACATTAGAAAAACAATGCCTTTGACTTTTCTGACATCACAAACTTTGATCGTAATAAACTGAACTGATCTCACCTCGTTGTCTGATTCTACGAGGACCTGGTCGTACTCGCTGAGGGCCACAAGGAACATGATGGAGGTCACATTCTCAAAGCAGTGGATCCACTTCCTCCTCTCAGATCGTTGACCTCCCACATCCACCATCCTGGTTCAGCATGCAGGAAGATGTAAGAACAACACAAGTTACTGGTCCAGATTACCGTTTAAGACAAACCATGCCAATCAAATCAACAATTCAACATCCCACCAGGAAAGGAAAAGTGACTGTGGTGTAGAAGCTGACAGAACATACAGCTATGATATCCAAAAGCAGATGCAAGAAAATATGACATGCAGATAAGATCATGAAGGAAGAATGAACATATATTGATCACAACACAAAGAAATTATGAAAGGAATTTGAAAACTATCCTTTTGAAATTCAACAAATATAGTGGGGTTATTGGATGAATTAAAACAGGGCATGCCATTATCTGCCTACAGTTATCTTTGACACTCAAGGAAACTATTTAGATTTATTTTTATTTGTGACTTCTGTAGGTCACCATAAACATAACAAAGAAAGGGCAAAGCAGCTGGTAACTGAACTGAGCTGAGCTTCCGACCAGAGTCCGACCGGCAAATCTCAAAGACATTGATGAATGAACTCCTCCAGAAGACACAGCCCAAAATAAAACTTCACAGTCAATGGCCTCCTTTTCTTCTCTTAGCAAAAACAACTGACCTGCTAGTTTAGTTTAAGACAAGCAAAGTAACAATGACATTTCTGATACTACAAAAGTAAATGAAAATAAAACTAATGGCTTCCTTTTGGATAAACAGTGGCAACAAGATTAAAAAGTCCCCACTGCACATTTAAAGCATAATGCACCATCCATCCTTTTTCTTCCAGAGGTGTCCAAACTGGTCCAGAAAGGGCCAGTTGAGGAAATGGGAGGAGTCTGCTCTGCTCCTGCTGGGTCTGACAGAAAACCTGCAGCCACAGCAGCCCTTTCTGAACCGGTTTGGACACCTCTATTTCTGGGTCGGGGGTGGCTGTCAGAGCTGCACCCAGTACAATTAGCACCAGCCACCATTTAAACCATCATGAAATAGAATTACAGCAGGTATTGTCTTACGTCTTAACACATAAATCCCATTACTTAGACAATTTCTTGATGGTGCATGTCCTTGCTTCTTTAAAAGCTTAGGGATGAAATTAATGGAAAATGAAAAAGTAAAATTGATATAAACAACGTCTGTCAAATGCAAGCACGCAGAACAAATTTTAGCACATATTGCAAACGTGTAAACTCTGCTCTGAAAAAAAGATGCTGATTGTGCAATTAAGCAGGTACTTTAAATATGATTCACATTCTCAAATATATACAGCATGCAATATATTAGGCCAGCCATTCCCAAACTCAGTAACACCGAGGCCCCCTTAAAAATCTGACGGGTCTGCGTGGCCCCCCCAAAATAATAACCAAGAAGACAACATTAAGAATAGGCTATTCTGGTTATTTTATTTTGGGGAAATAGCCTCTGCTACAAACATTGTAATACAAAAATGATTACAGTGGATTATTCAAGTCAAATAATGAACACAAATATTTTAATATTACAAACAAAACATTATAAATTTAACATTAAATAATTATATTATTTTTTTTATTTTTTTTATGACCTCCCGCGGCCCCCCTGCAGTACCCTCGCGGCCCACCAGGGGGCCGCGGACCCCACTTTGGGAGACACTGTATTAGGCCACAGTAAATAGATTATTTGATGGTTAGCTGTAGCTGCAGCTCTCTGCTTTATTCTAGTGTGATCACTTTACTTTCGCATGCATTGAACATTTTTAGGGTGATTGTGCCTGAATCACACATTTTAAAAGGATTTTAATAACTGCAAGATCGGTGAAAGTAAAATACTGTATATACTGTGACTACTTTGCTTTTGTGCAGAAGACACAAAAGAAAAAGAATACTGTGGATCCTCTCTAGAATATATAAAGTCTCATAGATCCCAATTCCAGTGGCAAGTAATACCAAACGTAAGTGTGGACTACTTGTATGGAAATGTAATCTAACGTGAACAAAAAACAGATTTTACAAGATAAGTTTACTAGAATAATATTTGAATTTGCAATTTTGGCTTATTTTGGAATAACAACATCACATATTGCAGACGGATTAAATTATTACAAATGATTGGTATAAAGTACAGGCAACACAAAGTACAAAGATGGGGTCAGACAAAGACACACATCTAGTTCTACCTGAAAATGATGCTTTGCAAGTCGAATGGGTATTCTATAATCCCAGTGGTTGGGATTCGAACTCTAAGCACATCCTGTTGGGTTGGTAGATAGCACGGGCCAGCAATACGATCCAGATCACTTAGATAGCTGAAGGTAAAAAGGACAAAAGAGGAGGACAGAAAGAGTGAAGCAAACCATCTACAAAAGCAAGTGGCCAGTCCAGATGCAGAGCACAAAAGAAGATTGCCCAACAGTCATGGACCATCAGCTTTTCAGAAGCATCCCTGATGTGGCTCTCAAACACAACAATTACATTCATACTAGTGTTTTCAAATGGTTTGTGAGAGCATACCATCAGGGATGAGTTAAAGAGTGCCAGGCCCTGCTGTAAAGCGGAGTGGACTGAGATAGTAGTGCAACCTACAGGCTGACCAGTCATCATGCAGCTGCTTGGTTACTGGCATGAGTGGCTTTTACCAGCCGTACCTGAAGATAATATTCTCCAGATCAAAAGGGTACTCAATGATGCCGGTGGTTGGGACTCGAACCCGCAGCACATCCTGCTGAGTAGGCACAAAGCCTGGAGTGGCTATTCGCTCTAAATCAGTGAGGTAGCTGTGGAGGGGGAGCAATATATAACACAGGTTCATAGGAAAATGACTTGGCACAAGGCTCTGGAGAAGCCACGCTAATGTACACAGACCTGCAAACTCAAATCAAATCAGAACTTTAGCCATAGTGGATGTTACATAATATTTATTTTAATGTTTTTTATTCAAGAAATGGGAGTATGGGGGTATCCATACAATTCCCTGTGTTCTAGTGAATTTCTCAGGGTGTATATACTATATATAATATACTACTATATTTTATAGTTAGTAAAGCAAACTTTGATTAATAACAGCAGTGTTCACTAGACTAAATGCATTTGAGAATAATCTTCTAGAGAATTCTAGTGAATAATATTATATAATATTCTATGTATTTGTATGCCCTTTAGCTTCCTCAAGTGGTCGCTTGAAGACCACCACCACCAGCCACCTACAGCATTCACTTGAATGCCAATCTTAAGCATTATTGAGTATATAAACTTTACAAAAATACATGTGCTGATGAAGTTTTAGATGGAAATTAGCCCATGGCTACAATCCGGAGTGATGTGTTCATTAACATGTTCTGTCCCAACCAAAAAAACAATAAATAAATAAAATAAAGAGTTCACATTGAAATTTGAAATAGACAGTGGCTCCATAACAATGCATTTGGGCTTCACCTCTCCAACTTTAACATGGTCCATGCCTATAACTTGAGCCATTAGCTGTTTGCACCATGCAAATTTCACATGATGATTATGGTCGGTGTTAAAATAGACTGAATAAGCACAGGATAAGCATCACAGCTTCAGTGCCTCACTCATCCAAACTACCATACACGCTCCCTCCCTCCCTCCCTCCCTCCAACACCACCCACCTACAGGATTCATGAAGATGACTATCTAAACCAGCCATTCCCAAACTCAGTAACACCGAGGCCCCCTTAAAAATCTGACGGGTCTGCGTGGCCCCCCAAAATAATAACCAAGAAGACAACATTAAGAATAGGCTCTTCTGGTTATTTTATTTTGGGGAAATAGCCTCTGCTACAAACATTGTAATACAAAAATGATTACAGTGGATTATTCAAGTCAAATAATGAACACAAATATTTTAATATTACAAACAAAACATTATAAATTTAACAATATAATATATTTAATATTTAATATATTTTTTTATGACCTCCCGCGGCCCCCCTGCAGTACCCTCGCGGCCCACCAGGGGGCCGCGGACCCCACTTTGGGAGACACTGATCTAAACTATACAATACTTGTATCAATACAAAGTACAAACCTCAGTGCTGCAAGGTAAAAGAGTTTACATGAAAACCAGAAATCTATCCCTTCTTTGATGTAATGTTTCCTTCTTTCACTAAAAACCGAATGAGTCAATAGCACACGCTGCACACTTACTACTTGGTGGAGTCAGAGAGCTGGTACTCTCGTCTGCGGTCATATGCCTCCTGGATGCCAGGGTCAGACCACAGCATCTTTATGGCCCCCACATATGGCTGATCAAAAGACGACACCATCTCCACATCAACCTCCCGCACAAGCAAGGCATGATTCTGGGAGAAAGAAAGAACAAAACACATAAGACCCACTAGAGAGCATACAAGAGTTTACCAAGGCAGGGATGTGATCGCCATTCATCAATTTGATTTGCTTCAGGTTCCTTCCAGTGTAGAGTTGAGCGAAATACAAAAAATATATTTAAAATATATAATGTATATAAATCAAAACTATATATTGATTTTATTTCGACGCATCAACAATGGAGCACACGGGCGGCATGGTGGCTGAGTGGATAGCACTCTCGCCTCTCAGCAAGAAGGTCCTGGGTTTGAATCCCGGTCGGACCAGGGCCTTTCTGAGTGGAGTTTGCATGTTCTCCCCGTGTCTGCGTAGGTTTCCTCCAGGTACTCTGGTTTCCCCTACCACTAAAAATATGTCCAATAGTTCTAGCATGTGCCTCCTGTACTGGCGACCCCGCTCCCATCTCTGTGTGGAGTGAGAGACAAATGCCCAAAAATTAACAATTGTAAACCGCTTTGAGACTCAATTCTGCAGTGAAAAGGCGGTATATAAATAAAAACTTACTTACTTACTTACTAGCACACCAGAATTAGTTTTTTGAAACCCATACAGATGTTGCCAACTGTAGAAATAAACTTTTTTAAATCCCCATAATAAAAAAAAACAGATCCGTCAACTCGATTCAGGAGCTGTTTTTGAATGAATCATGATTGCTTATTTTCTCAATAATTCCTAATGAATGTGTGGATTGTAAGATAACGATTAGGGATGTCATGATTACCGGTGTAGCGGTAAACCCCGATAAAATGTTTACTATATCATTTACTGTCTTAATTTTTTACAAGAGGTATTATCTCGGTGGATTACCGCGGTGTACGCCACCGTGAGCTGTGAGTCTGCTGAAGTTGCCGCATGGGTGCACTTTTATGCTGGAGCCATGACCAAAGGAGGAGACAACAGCCCTTAGGATATTTATCAGCCTAAGTGTGGGCATATTTTGAATTTTTAAAGAATGCCGAGGGGAAAGTTGATGGATCCTGTCCGCAGAACGTGCAGGAAAAAGAACAGTTTTCGCAATGCCTCCTCTGTGTGATCATCCACAACAACTCTACAGGCAACTCGTTTTAGCTGAAAAAGATGAAGCAGAGAAACTTCAGGTAGTAAGAGTCAATACAAAATTATACAATATAATTTTGTCTGGTTATCCATCCGTCAATACAGTTTAGGTTAACACAGCCGCAGCCTCTAACTGCCTGTTAGCAGCTAATATGCTAATGCTAACAGGTAAACAGTAGATAGATACTTTATTGATCCCCTTGGGGGAATTTCAGACGAGACGATGACACAGCATTATTGAGCGCTAGTTGAAGGCTCAACAATATCATGCACTTCATTTGTTTTAACCAAATATAGTGACATTCACTATGTGCGGCACGGTGGCTGAGTGGATAGCACTCTCGCCTCTCAGCAAGAAGGTCCTTGGTTCGAATCCCGGCCGGACAAGGGCCTTTCTGAGTGGAGTTTGCATGTTCTCCCCTGCGTAGGTTTCCTCCGGGTACTCCGGTTTCCCCTACCACTAAAAATATGTCCAATAGGTCTGGCATGCGCCTCCTGTACTGGCGACCCCGCTCCCATGTCTGTGTGGAGTGAGAGGACAAGTGCCCAAAAATAACAATTGTAAACCGCTTTGTGACTCTGGTCTGTGAAAGGCGGTATATAAATAAAGCTTACTTACTACTACTTACTATTATAATTAAGTGGATGTTATCAACCAAATGTTAGTAACCAACGTTTGTTCACTTCTTTTAAACTATTTCATTTTGTGTTGGACATTCAATGCTTTCTGAACATATTATACTCCCTGAACTTACCGAAAACTGTTTTAATTTTGGTCACAATAACCGTGAGGTTAAATGTTCATACCGTGATCCCCAATAACAATAACGAGTTTAAATTGATTTTGAAAGAGAAGGCCTGAGATTGCTTATTAAACTTGGTAACAATGGTTCAACTTGCACTTAGAAAATCCACAATGCCATTAAGTCATTACAGACAACTTGTGAAGAGATTTCATATCTTATTTGTATCTTTTGTCTTGTTTGACTAGTAGAATGTAGTGAGAATATAAAGATGTTAAATATCTACAGTATATGTGTGGGAATCTCCTGGCCCGGACCACGTGTCTCCGGCCACTCTGAGACACTGCGCCAGTGAGCTTACTCCTGTGTTCACTGACATTTTCAACTCCTCTCTGCAGTCCTGCCATGTCCCGGCCTGGTTAAAATCCTCCATCATTGTCCCCGTCCTGAAGAAGCCCAGGATCACAGGACTCAATGACTACAGACCTGTAGCACTTACGTCTGTCGTCATGAAGTCATTTGAACGCCTGGTCCTCTCCCATCTCAAGTCCTTCACCTCCCCCCTCCTGGACCCCCTGCCGTTTGCCTACAGAGCCAACAGATCTGTAGACGACGCCATTAACCTGGCCCTCCACCACATCCTACAGCACCTGGACTCCCCAGGGACCTACGCCAGGGTCCTGCCACCCCTGCTCCAGGACAAGCTCTCCCAGCTCAACGTTCCCAATTCCACCTGCAGGTGGATCACTGACTTCCTGACAGACAGGAAGCAGCGAGTGCGTCTGGGGAAGAATGTCTCGGACTCTTGGATTATAAATAAAATAAAATATTATAAATACAGGAGTCCCACAGGGCTGTGTTCTTTCTCCCCTGCTCTTCTCCCTGTACACCAACCACTGCACCTTAAGCCACGACTCCGTGAAGCTGATCAAGTTCGCAGACGACACCACCCTCATTGGACTCATCTCCAACAACGATGAGTCCGCCTACAGGAGGGAGGTGGACCGGCTGGTGTCCTGGTGCAGCGGTAACAACCTGGAGCTGAACGCCCAGAAGAAAGTGGAGATGATTGTGGACTTCACCCCCACCCTCCGTGATGGACTCCCCCATCACCTCTGTGGAGTCCTTCCGTTTCCTGGGCACCACCATCACCCAGGACCTCAAGTGGGAGCTGACCATCAGCTCCTCATCAAGAAGGCCCAGCAGAGGATGTACTTCCTGCGGCAGCTCAGGAAAGCCAAGCTGCCTGCACAGATGTTGGTGCAGTTCTACACGGCCATCATCGAGTCCATCCTCACCTCCTCCATCACTGTGTGGTTCGCTGGAGCCACAGTCAGGGACAAACAGAGACTACAGCGCATTGTGCGCTCTGCAGAGGAAGTGATCGGCCGCAGCCTTCCATCGCTGCAGGACCTGTACGTCGCCCGAGCTCGAGGCCGGGCTGGTCGTATCACAGCCGACCCCTCTCACCCTGCACATGGACTATTCCAACCACTCTCCTCAGGCAGGAGACTGCGGTCCATCAGGACTAGAACCTCCCGCCACAAGAACAGTTTCTTCCCCTCTGCTGTTGGACTCTTGAACACTTCTTAACCTGTCCCCCCGCCCTTTATAAAGTCACTTTACTGCCCATCATACGTCACTTTACTTCACTGTACTGCTGTCACCTTACATTGTGTGCACCATGTGCACTTGTATATTGTAAATGGTAATTGTAACTCTATTTTAAATTTAAATTTATTCCTTAGAAGTGTTTTTTATTCTTTATTTTTCATTACCTCTTTCTGACTGTTGCACTGAGCCAAAGAAATTTCTAAGTCTGTGACTTCCTGTTACTTATGTGGCAATAAAAATGATTCTGATGATTCTGATTCTGAATTGTGTCTGAGGCAATCTTTTATATGTACACTTTGTCAAATGGACCTCTATGGAGTTGATACCTTTTAAACCCTTTTATACCCCAAACATACACACCTTGTTCTGTTCGTACTTGAAGGGGATCTTGAGTGTCTCTGTGGCCCGGATCATGGACTGCATGGACGTGAAGATGTTCTGGTAAACGAGCTTGGTAAAGCCCTTCTTATCCTCGTCTGTGTAGCCAGACCCATGGATTATTCTCATCTGCTTGATGAAGGTACTCTTGCCGCTCTCACCTGTACCTGTAAGCAATGAAGATAGACAAATTTTGATGTAAACATTGTTTGAGAGAAATTAAGTAAGATAATCATTTACACCTGTTTAGGTGTACTAAAATCAATAACATAAAAGGGAGATAATTCTGGAAAGCCAGGTCGCTTACAACAATTGGTGGAGTTTACCCAACATCGCACCTGTTCCTTTAAATTGTGCATTTAAAGACTTTCCATAAACCTTTTTCAGAGTCATGTACAGACAGAAAGTAGCTCCATTTGCAGAAAGCTGCAGAAATTGAAAACACTTCATTAGGCAGGGTCATGTCTTGCGGCCATGATTAGCTCAAATCAACAGATGTTTCCTTGTCTAACCGGAAAACCCAGAAGAAGTCCCTGCACATGGACTGAAGCCGCTTTAAGGGAAATACTCAACTTTAACTTGTGTTTCTTTTTTATTTTTATAAAATTGACTTATGAAAACATTGCAGAAAACAGCAGCTGAAGGCAGTCCCAGTAGATGCATAAACTACAGCTCCCATGCTTTAGTCTGACCAATACTTGTTGTGGGAATTCCCCACAAACCAATCACATTCAATCATAGTCCATATCATGGGGAAAATCACGTGAGCAGTGCCTCGCAAAATATCAGATGGACCAATCACATTCACCTATCCGTCGCTCTTTCCTGAGTCCTTTTATCGGCCAGCTTCACTGTATGTTTATGTGAGAAAGCATACGCGTGTGTGGTTTGAAGATGCCAGAGCTTATTCGTCCAAATAAAAATATTCTAATAAAAGGTTAAACATTTCAAGTGATAGTCTGGAGTTTGTCCGAAAAAAAAGAGGTACATGATTTGAAAAAATTTGACCCAAGCTCCCTCCCCCTTCCTTTCTGATTGGTGTTGAAGCCGTGCCTACTTTTCCGTGCACTCTCCAGAGGAGAGATTATTAATTTAAATATTCGAATATTTAATAATAATAATGCATCGGTTTTATATAGCGCTTTTTTGGACACTCAAAGACGCTTTACATGTCATTATTCTTTCACTCCAAACACAGTGGTGATAAACTACTACTGTAGCCACAGCTGCCCTGGGGCACACTGACAGAAGCGAGGCAACCAGTATGCGCCATCGGCCCCTACGACCACCACCAACCATTCACTCACACACACACCAGACTCATTCTAGGCAATGGGGGTGAAGTGTCTTGCCTAAGGACACAACGGCAGTGTGGCACTTTACAGCCGCAGCCGCCCCACTGTGGCATCAGGTGTTCCCAGAGGTTAAGTGTCTTGCCAAGGACACAACGACAGCAGACACTGGGAGTCGATAGTGAAGGTCAGGCTGGAACCCACGACCCTCTGGCTCAAAGGCCAACGCTCTACCAACTGAACTACTGTCACCCTATAATTTAATCATAATGTATTATACAGCTCCTGACAGCAGCAGAACGCTCCATTGATTTAAATGTAATTTCAAAATGTTCTACCGATCATTATTTCTTGATAAGGCTCTCAAACCAATAATGACCGCTGCCCTTTGGCAACACACTTTGTGCTTGTACTTCAGGTGTGTAAAATTGATCTGGACAGTAGTTTGCACACTTTGTCACAACAGGCTTTCAGCGCCTGTCACTTATTACTTCTGTCTGTGTGAGAAGCTAACGAAGCTAGCCATGGTCAATAACAAAAATATCAATCAATCTAACATTTAAATGTTAATCAGAGAATACATTATACATTATACATTCTTCACACAGGTGCATGGAGATTTTCAGAATGTTTTGGTAATGTTTTCATGACAAAAATACTGTTTATGCGCTTTTTGACGCAGTAAAACCGGAAGTAAACATTAACATTAGTAGAACATTTTAGGACACATTTGCAGAGGATCTGATCATGGATTTAGGTTAAGTCTATATACTTCACCGCTGATGTTCAGAATTCTTTGTTCACTTTTCATGTAGTTCCAGAGAGTTGCCTAGCTGTTGCCTAGCCTAGCTGTTAGCTGTTAACCGTCTAGCCACGTCAGGCAAAACCTTTGGGAACTAACTATTTTATATATATATAATTAAAAAAAGATAATGCTTCGACATGCTTACAGCTTCGAATGGGTTGTCTAACATATGTATATATATTTGTTATATATATACATATATATATGTATATAATATAATTACGCCGACGACACTCAGATCTATGTCTCACTGACTGCAGGAGAACATGGACCACTGGATTTGCTCCTTCACTGTATCCAACAGATCAGTGAGTGGATGCAAAATAATTTCCTCCAGCTAAATGCAGACAAAACCGAAATCATTGTCTTTGGTCCCCAGAAACAAAGAGAGGGCGTCATCTGTCACCTCCAGTCTCTCTCCCTAAAACCTTCAAACAAGGTCAGAAATTTGGGGGTAATACTGGACTCAGACCTAAATTTCAATAGCCACATAAAATCAATAACATCAACAGCTTTTTACCATCTGAAGAACATTGCCAAAGTCAGAAATATAGTGTCCAGGGCAGACTTGGAGATTCTTGTCCACGCATTTGTCTCCAGCAGGCTAGACTACTGCAATGGCCTGCTTACAGGTCTGTCCAAACAGACCTGTAAGCAGCTGCAGTACATCCAAAATGCAGCAGCTAGAGTCCTGACAGGAACCAGGAAGTATGACCATATTAGTCCGGTCCTCAGGTCTCTGCACTGGCTTCCTGTGATAGATTTTAAAACAGCTCTGCTTGTGTACAAGTCTCTCCATGGCCTTGCACCAGAATACATTAGTGACATGTTGGTGTCATATGAACCAGCCCGGACTCTGAGGAGCACAGGGACTGGCCTCCTGCTGGTGCCCAGAGTGAGAACCAAACATGGGGAGGCTGCGTTTCAGATCTATGCAGCTAAGATCTGGAACAATCTCCCTGAAAATGTGAGGGAGGCGTCTACTCTGTCAATGTTTAAATCCAGGTTAAAGACTGTTCTGTTTGCCTGTGCATACAACTGAAGGATTTTATCTCCATTTGTAATGCACTGCTGTCATTTATTTATTTATTTTTTTTAAATTTCTTGTGTAACTTTGAAAGTGTTAATGGTTTTATTCTTTTGTGTGATTTTATTGTTTTTATTGTGTTTTAATCTTTTGTGTGATTTTAATGTTTTAATTGTGATTCTGGTGTTTGTTTTATGTGATGATTTGTGATGTGGACTGTGAAGCGCTTTGTGTTGCCCTGTGCATGAAAGGCGCTCTACAAATAAACTTTGATTGATTGATTGATTGATATTTAATATTTGAATTAAATACGAGCACGAGCACCAGCGCGATGATTGACAGCCCTTGGCATCACTTGATTGGTTAATGTGGACGGCATCGTGGATTTCTAGCTATAGCTAAGAGAAGGGAAGGCGGGACTTTCCCGTAATATTACCCGTAGAATTCATAAAATGACTTATTTTATATCAACATTTAAGGCCAGGAGGTCAATTTAATACAACGCTTAAAATTTGTAATTCATTTAGAGTTCCATACTATCACTTTAATGCAGAAGACTCAATAGCAGAGGTCAGGAAACAAGGGCTCGGGAGCCAGATGTGGCTCTTTTAATATTTGTGTCTGGCTCTCAGACAAATGTTAAAACAAAAGAAAACATTCTGAGACTAATACCTTGTTTTAAAAATGTTGTTTTAATTATTTTTCAAGTATGTGGCACCCACAGAAATACAGACTTTTTTTAGCTTCCTCAGATAAAAAGGTTACTGACCTCTGCTGTATAGTGTATACTGATATACTGCTGCTGGGGCTCGCAGTCATGGTTTATAGGTATGGACATGATCCGTAATGATTCCGTGATCCGGCACATAGGTGTCTCTCTGTGAAATCGCTAGGAAAAGGAAGGTTGGTTTTGGACAACTTTTTGTATATGAGAGCAGAGAAGACTGCGTGGGACTTTTGGCTGCTGTGCTATGAGCTTTGAGAAGTCTGACTGAGGTTGTCACCACCTCACTGATCAGTACCTTCTTTCTCGCTCTCCCCGTCTATTGTGTCTATAACCCACACTGTTATGCTTTGCCTTGGTGTAAAAAAGTTTTCATACAATACACAGCTTTACTTATTTTCCTCTCAACATGTGATGAGAGCTACTCCCAATAGGTAGGACAATGTAGCAGTCTCATTCACTTTTCATGCTGGAAATGTCCACAAGCCGCATGCAGGCATTAAGCCCCTTGCAATAACAGAGGTAGAGAGAGGGATGGTCAAACAAGACGAGAAATGTCCAGGGATGATCAGCCTGTTCGCTGTCCTGAAACATTCAGGCAATATTATCTAATGGGTCTCAGGCTACTTTGGACATAAATACTTTGCACACCTGTCTTAAGTCATGCATACAAAAAAGGTCTCAGCCAACTGCGGCAGGTCTGAGTTCCCTGGCACCAGTAGACTTAGGGCCAGTCCCAATTCTCAGGGCATTTGAGTTGTTCAACACTCATAACCTCCTGGTGTCAGCGCCGCAAATGCAATGTTCGCACCTGATCAGCAAGAGTTGCAATTTGCAAGACATCCCAGTGGATCTAAATTGTTAGAATATGCTTGCTTATGGTGCTTTCAAGATACCACTGTTAATGTGGGGGCTGAATGTCATTGAAACGCCCATGCTTGTGATGGACAAATAGCGCTTTTCATGACAGCATTTTTTTAATCACTCCATACCATAAATGTGATATGGCTGTAGCAAAGAGAAATAAAGCTGTTCTCTGGCTGAAGAGCAGTGATGATTACACTCGTACACATTGTAATGTAGGCCTAAAGAGAGAACTTAAATCTGATAAACGTGCTTTTCGGACATGATTTTCTCTCAAAGCTGCAGAGCGGTACAGACACTTTAACTTGGCAAGGCAGTGCCAAGTTAAATACAGGAAATTGCATGGTTAAAACAAAAACATAAGTTCACTTTTGAATAAATCCCCAAATGAAACATTATTTAATGTGCAGCAGAAGATAAACAAGTTCAACAGGCAAAGGCCAGTTTTTCCCAGGAATGACTGCCACACAACTGCTGGAAAGCTGGGCGTGTCAACATGACTTTGCTCAAGTAACTGAGCCACCAGGCAAACAGCACAGCCACAGACACCCATCTGCCTGGCCTTCATGCTTCTGTTCAAAACAACATTTCAGTTAAAAATTGTTCTTAAGATTATTCTCATTCAGATAGCTATACCTGTGAAATGTTGAATCCTGTAAGGGACTTCAATTACATTTCTTAAAAAATAATGAATAATAAAGTAGTTTATTTATATTAAATCCCTCCCCTTGTCATAACCACCACCATCAAAAGAAATGTTAAACCAATGGGGAGGAGTCATGCTCCAACGCTATTGCCACCAATTTTAAATGCTGTTCCAAACAGTAGAAGCATTCAGCAGAAGTGTCATACCAGCTTCTTCATTTCATGTCAGAGCTGACTAAATATGGTTTGTGTAACATTAAGAAACAGGCCCAAAGGGACCAAACACTACACAACTTAAGCTTTTCAGAAGAGCCAATGATTGAATCAAAATGTGGATGAGTGCCATGATGACTGATTCGCAAATATGCATTGCTCAAGAACAAAACTTCACATGCAGAAAAATGTTTAACTAGAAAATAACGTATAGAGTGTGTGGCCCTACATCAAAAAGGTCTGGACTGTATGCTTTGGAGATCAGCCTTGAGACCACTGTCTCAATGCTGATGTCATAAGTAACTGAGAAAATTAAGAGTTTGAAGAGTCTCTTTCACACTGGAAACACAGAAATACGTGTTTATAACAAATCCTGAGCTGCACAAAACACTCACAACTAGGACTGGGTACCTTTAGATTTTTATGGTACATTTTAGATACCCATTTCGGTGCCAGTCCTAGAGGAGGAAAATCCAGGGTTTAACTAGGGCTTTGCATTACGAGCAGCCGCAACAAGAGCAATGCGTTTCCCATTGATTTCCAATTAAATTACACCTACGTATATTATAAACTGACAAGAACCGGAAATTAGAACCAAACAAATTGCATTCTTATGGTATCAGTAGGAAGTTCTACTCTCTAACCGTGAAAGGTTAGAGAGTAGAACTAACCGTGAAAGGTGCCCAGCCCTAGTCACAATCTCCTCCTTGCACAGAGCTGCCTTACTAATATGACATGCTCTGTATTGCAGTGGTTCTGAGCTCAAATATATACCACAGAACCTCCACCAGTTGAGTTCCATAGTTATTAACATTACAAAATACACTGTACAAAGAAGTCTACATGCATGCATTCATAAAATCAACCTTCAAACACATCCTCATTCACCCATCATTGAAGTGAGTAAGTAAGTAATCTTTATTTATATACCGCCTTTCACAGACCAGACTTCAAGACTTCAAGGATTACATCCATCAGGCTGGGATAAGATGAAACACATTACAGATAAATAAAGCAGATAAATAATTAGCCATCAAAGTCACAGGTCGTGCAGGACAAAAGTTGAGGCAGAAAATGAACAAAGGTCACTGTCTGTTTAGGACCGATATGAAAGAATTACGTGGTGAGTTATCTAAAATCGATATTATATTGGGCTGCCTGAATTAAAGAAATATATCTTGTGAATGAACAAACATTTAAAACGACAGTCAGTGGTGACCACAAGCTGCAAATGTTGGTTAGTTTTTTCCAATCGCTTACATTATAATGTAGGGAGGGTGAATAAAAGCACAGATAAATATACTTACCCAATAGCAGCAGCTTGAGCTCCCGTCTCGCATCCCTCTTGTCCCGTCGGAGCTGTTTCTCGATCTCTGCGTTAATTCGTTTGGACTCCTTCGCCTCTTCACTCAGGCAACAAGCCATCATAGAGTCTAAAGTCATCACCGCATGAGCTAAAGCCCACCTGACAAGGGGCGCAGACTGCTCTCAGATAGACAGGCTGCTTCAGCACTGATCCAGACAAGGGTTTCAGAGGAGCAGAACTGGGCCTTTGACAACTGTAAATCAAGGCCAAATGTCAAATATCCGACATGCAGAAGGGGACGGTGGCTGACTCCACGGTATCTAAAGTGCAAAAACTGAATGGTTCCAACTAAAATTGATGCAGTGATTTGAAGACTGTTTAGCTTAGAGGCTAAACAGGGCTAGCGCTGAAACTAACCAAAGTGATGGTTGGCTGACGTATCCACCGTGTCAGTGGCTGTAACTACTTAAGATGACGGGATTCTCTAAACAGATTTGACATCTGATTCTCCTTAAACTACTGCTTACGTCCCAACGACACTACGTGCTGTGGCTGCTCATGTGTGCCCTCCCTGCGGCTGCAGAGCGCAGGCTTAGCCGCCCTGAACACAACTATACGCCCGCGCTGTCACAAAGAGCAGCCATCCAGCAGGGCATTTGGAGAAGGCATAGTGCCGACAAACACTTTCTACAGGGACATCAATGGGTGAAGCACATCAGGAAGTAAACCAATGTATCCGAAAGGTAAAATAATGAGCAGCGCAGCAGCCAGTCGGATGGTCCGCGGAGCATAGCTACATGGACAGGCTAATGTTAGCTAGCTAGCTCAGCTAGCCGTCATTGGAGAAGCGCCTTCTAGCTAGGAAACTGAAAGTCAATATGGACAGCTGTTTTCCATTGCACTAAACAGGAAAGCTCCTCATTTTTTGGTCGGTGTATAATATCCAAGACGCAAAAAGTCTTACACGCTGTCAATGGACTCCATTCTGTGTGTGCTCCATGGTGTGTGCTCCTGTCACTGCTGGTATTTGTCCTGCTGCAGCTGGACGCTGGTCCGGGCTCCGGTGTGGCAGCGATGCTGCTGACATCACATCATCTACGAGTGATTGACTACTGTGAGGCAAATGAAAAGCCACTCTGTGGGAGTTAGAGGCGGGACTTATTGTGTGGACGATATAAATGTTCAAGTTTGTTTGAGAAGAAGGAGGTGGGCCGGTAAAAGCAGCTGATTTGACTGGACAGGCGACGCCCATCTGTCAAAGATCTGCACTAACCAGGCCCCAAATAGGAAACCATATTTGACCATGAAGATTATTAAATCTATATTCAAAATGTTGGCTTTTTAAAGTAACTTTACACATGTTTTACACAATGCTGGGGTCTGGTCTGTTTTGTCCAGTTAATGGGCCCATTACTTGAGGCACCAACTTTTCTCATAGTGGTTTGGTGAGAATCAGTATTTGCTTTTAGATCGAACATAAAAGTTCAATTCTATTAAATTGATAACTTGATATTTGTTCTTGTTTCTATCAAACATTGCCCCCACTTCCCTCTGCTGTTAAAGGCTGACTCTGCCCCCTCACTAAGCTTTTATCTTTTTATTTATTACCCTCAGTGCGTTCACTTGAAATGAACCAGATCAGTGATGTCTTGAGGACTGGATAATTTGCAGTTTCCACACTTTTTTTGAGTTCTGCAAACTTAGTCTGGTTTACGTTGCAGGTAGTAAACAAGTACCTGGTACCAGTTAAACAAGTCTATTCTCTCAATTGGGGTAGAGGACTTTTGCCACTGAGCCACCTTTGACTCACTATGTCATTCATGAGTTCATAACACTTAACACTGTTCATAAATGCAATCCTGTGTTATCATTGGGAAAACACATCTATTCAAAATACCAAACACATTGTGTGATTGAAAACACACAAAACGCGACACACATCAGCCAGACATAAACAGGCCTCAGTTTAGCCATTTTCAGTGCAAGTTTGGAGGCAAATAGAGCACGAGGTAGAGGAAGAGGAAGACGAGGAGAGAGAGAGAAGGAGGACATGGTTGAACATATTTCTGATGACATAAGAGCAACTTTGGGGGATCATGTGATCAATCATGGCCTCACTATGAGGAAGCAAAGAGTCCAGCCACAGCTCCGTCATCAGGACATTCAGATGGAAACATGTCTCCAACTCTCTACTGCAGACTCTACCTACAGTATTTACAGTACTGTGTGAAGAAGATGACATAGTCTGGGATCGCGTCTTTAATTCAGACAGAAGACATGTTTTATTGTCAATGGTAGAGACAGCACGAACAACACGAACACAGAATGCAAGTGTATTATACAGAGCGGAGGCATGGAGACCTCCAATCAGCAGCTGCCACGGTGCCATGTAGCTTGGCCTTCAGATAGACAAAACAAGGGAAAAGTACTGGCTTCTGCACATTGATAGAATGATGAGTTTAACTTTAACAAAAGTTGCTTCAAAGTGTTATGAAATCTCACATGTGTTACAGTACATGTGATACAGTACAGTACTGAAAATACTGTAGATACAGTCTACAGTAGAGAGCTACAGTACATGTGATACAGTACTGTAAATACTGTAGATACAGTCTACAGTAGAGAGCTACAGTACATGTGATACAGTACTGTAAATACTGTAGATACAGTCTACAGTAGAGAGCTACAGTACATGTGATACAGTACTGTAAATACTGTAGGTACAGTCTACAGTAGAGAGCTACAGTACATGTGATACAGTACTGTTAATACTGTAGATACAGTCTGCAGTAGAGAGTTGGAGACATGTTTCCATCTGAAGGTCCTGATGATGGAGCTGTGGCTGGACTCTTTGCTTCCTCATAGTGAGGCCCTGATTGATCACATGATCCTCCAAAGTTGCTCTTACGTCATCAGAAATATGTTCAACCATGTCCTCGTTCTCTCTCTCCTTGCCTTCTTCTTCTTCTACCTGTACCTCTTCCTGCCTCCAAACTTGCAAAGTTCTGAAGATGGCTAAACTGAGGCCTGTTTATGTCTGGCTGATGTGTGTCGCATTTTGTAAGTCAGTGTTTTCAATCACACAATGTGTATTTTAAATAGATATGTTTTCCTAATGATAACACAGTATTGCATTTATGAACAAAGTGTCTTATGTATGACACAGTGTGAGCAGGAGAAAGTGTGTTGCAGAAATGAAAGTAAAGTGCAAAGCAGTACTTTTGTTTAAGGAGTTGTCATGGACTGTGTTTAAGAACACTTCATAAGTGCCAACACAGATGTAGTCCAAAGCCTTGAACTATAATTTTGTGATTTGACTAATACATTTCCTCTTCATAAAACTTTATTGCAGCCTCTTGGTCCAGAATAGGAGAATTACATCACACAAAACTACTTTTCTTATTCCTCCTCATCCCTCATAAACACACACATGTAGACGTTTGTAATACTGAGGCATATTATCAATTTTAAGTATAATCAATCTGAATGTTCATAAAGTGAACCTCTCCCAATAATCACTTTAGCCTGCATGGTGTCATAATGAGATATCAGGTAAATGGGCGGAGCGTGTTGGGGCACGTCACATCACCTCCCTGCTTTGGTAATATGCGTGTGCGTGTGTGTATGCGCGCTTGTTTGTAGGTGCGCGTGTATGTTTGTGTGTATACAAACATACACAATGTCATGAGGGGCTGCGTTACATTTTCTTTCGTTTCATGTCAAAGTCAAAGCCAAACACCTCTCTCTGGGCTTCGAGAGCCTATAATTCCTTGGCGGTGTTTTCACTGCACCTCTCAGATAATCTCATCAGCACATCTGAGTCCTGGAAACCCCAGTCAAACCGGTTCTGCTGGATGAGACAAAAGATTGACATCCCAATGCCGCGGAGGAGTGACTGGATACAGTGATTCACGACGTGCTTCCGACGAGCCTTGTTGCTTAGACCTACAGTGAATAAGTTTGAACATAACCTTACATCGATACAACATAGACCAGGAATACATGTTTATTCCTGCTCTATTCTTTTATTCCTATACATCTTTAACAATCAACTGAGCTATGTGCATATTATAATCTTCAAAGAGCAAAGCGCCTCCATCCATGACCGCCACTCAGAAATATTATTTAGAAATGTTACTTCCTGCAAGTAACATTTTAGATTTATTTCGTTTGTATATAGTCAAATTATTCTCAATCGACACACTTATTCTCAATTGACACACTTATGTGTACTTTCAGCATTTGGGTATAGGGAAACTAGAACAGTATCGTGCTATTTCTATAAAATGTGTCCAAATCAAATGGACCCTTTTCCCATTGTCATACTAACACAAAAGTATACCACAAGTTTCCTTGTGTCTTAATAACTGAGAATTACATTTGCATACAGAGTGACAGCCCTGAGTGTTTATTGTGTAACATCCGGATGAAGTAGTGTAAATTGCTGCTGGCTTGTGGTTGGCTGTCCGCAGAGAGCAGAGATCCCAGAAGTCTATAGGGCGCATTCCTGTGAAGCGCCGTGGACTTTGTGTGGGTCCCAGGGATAACTCTCGGTGTCTGTCGTCGTTGGTTTGTGTATAATGATCTTTACATAGATGTTGGTTCTTGTTACGCGCGTCCTGAGCTGTTGGTGACGCGGACACGCACGGAGCGCAATGAGCTGCGGAGATTGATCTACCTGCTCACACCTGCTATACCGCTCACCGTTGAAGGTATGAAATCCTGTTAATAAACATCATTATCCATACAAATGAGCTATTTCGTGACTTTTCACAACGTCAAATTGTTTTTTATAATAATTAAAACGTCCATTTCTATTGTTGGATATAATATAGAAGTGAAGGCCACCATGAAAGCTTCTGTAAACACGTTAGAGATCATGTTTCTCCCATTTTTAAAAGGACATTGGTTGTAAAGCCACATGATACAATGGGGCAGCTGATTCAGACCGATAAAGGCATATTAATTCCGAGCATAAGACTGTGCTGAGGTTTATGGCATTGGCTGGACTTTATTGACTGAAAGGCTGTGTGTGATTAATTACAGCGGTGTAGAACATGGCGAGCTGCTGGGTCTGGTCCCGCAACACCTGCGTGTGCTGTCTGTCCGAGGACGAGCAGATAAGCCTGGCTATCCACAAGAAGATCCAGAATGAGCTGAAAAAACAGAAAAAGAAAGAAAGGAAAGAAATCAAAATCCTCCTGTTAGGTCAGTGCCACATCATCACTTAAAGACGCCTCAAAGCAATCATGATCATTAGACTAAGTGTCACATCAAAAGCTGGAACATTTCTTTCTTTTTTCTGCTTGGCCTGTTTGGTAGCCTGTAGCCAGGTTTCAAAACAATGTCAAGTATGTGTCACACTTTGACTATGTGAAGAATGGACCACACTGACAGTGGTTCGACCTGTAAACTCAGAGCGATACAATCAATACATTGACAATGTGCTCTCAAAGTATGAGTACAAACTCTCTGCATGCAGCCATTATTTATATCTGAGAGAATGTGAATTTATGGTGCTATGTTTCTCACTTTAACAAACAAAATTACATTTTCACATTAACATGGCTTTTTATTTCCCTAAAGGAACTGGGGAAAGTGGCAAAACAACTTTTATCAGACAGATGCGTATCATCCACGGCAAGGGATTCTCTGAAGAAGACAGAAAGACCTTTTCTAAATGTATATTTCAGAACATCTTCACCTCCGTCAAAGCCATGACAGCTGCTATGACGGCACTGAAAATCCCCTACTCCAACCCGGAGAATGAGGTAGTGTCTGATAAGCAATGATCCAACAACACAGACCGAGTGCAGACGCTTTTCGAACGGTTCAAAGTTGTGTAAAAATAATGTCCGAAGGTGTATTCTGTAACTTGCAGGTCTATGCCAAGTGGATCCAGGACATAAACACAGTGCAGATTACACACATGGAGAGGGGCTACGTGGACGCCATCCGCCGCCTCTGGGCAGACTCGGGCCTTCGGGTTTGCTACAGCCGCCGCTGCGAGTACCAGCTCCTCGACTCCACCGAGTAGTAAGTACACAAGGAACCTTTTTAACATCCTGGTCGGCCTGTCCTGATTATTAATTATGATGAATCATATATTGCCTCAGACAACAACAATAACACTGAAACCACTTAATACAGTGCCTTGCGAAAATATTCGGCCCCCTTGAACCTTTCAACGTTTCGCCACATTTCAGGCTTCAAACATAAAGATATAAAAATTAAATTTTTTGTCAAGAATCAACAACAAGTGGGACACAATCGTGAAGTGGAACGAAATTTATTGGATAATTTAAACTTTTTTAACAAATAAAAAACTGAAAAGTGGGGCGTGCAATATTATTCGGCCCCCTTGCGCTAATACTTTGTAGCGCCACCTTTTGCTGCAATTACAGCTGCAGGTCGCTTGGGATATGTCTCTATCAGTTTTGCACATCAAGAGACTGGAATTCTTGCCCATTCTTCCTTGCAAAACAGCTCGAGCTCAACAACAGCAGTCTTCAGCTCTTTCCACAGATTCTCGATTGGATTCAGGTCTGGACTTTGACTTGGCCCTTCTAACACCTGGATACGTCTATTTGTGAACCATTCCATTGTAGATTTGGCTTTATGTTTTGGATCATTGTCCTGTTGGAAGATAAATCTCCGTCCCAGTCTCAGGTCTTTTGCAGACTCCAACAGGTTTTCTTCCAGAATGGTCCTGTATTTGGCTCCATCCATCTTCCCATCAATTTTAGCCATCTTCCCTGTCCCTGCTGAAGAAAAGCAGGCCCAAACCATGATGCTGCCACCACCATGTTTGACAGTGGGGATGGTGTGTTCAGGGTGATGAGCTGTGTTGCTTTTACGCCAAACATATCGTTTTGCATTGTGGCCAAAAAGTTCGATTTTGGTTTCATCTGACCAGAGCACCTTCTTCCACATGTTTGATGTGTCTCCCAGGTGGCTTGTGGCTTTCTTCTTGCCACTCTTCCATAAAGGCCAGATTTGTGCAGTGCACGACTGATTGTTGTCCTATGGACAGACTCTCCCACCTCAACTGTAGTTATCTGCAGTTCATCCAGAGTGATCATGGGCCTCTTGGCTGCATCTTTGATCAGTCTTCTCCTTGTTTGAGATGAAAGTTTGGAGGGACGGCCGGGTCTTGGTAGATTTGCAGTGGTCTGATACTCCTTCCATTTCAATATAATTGCTTGCACAGTGCTCCTTGAGATGTTTAAAGCTTGGGAAATCTTTTTGTATCCAAATCCGGCTTTAAACTTCTCCACAACAGTATCTCGGACCTGCCTGGTGTGTTCCTTTGTCTTCATGGTTCTCTCTGCGCTTTAAACAGAACCCTGAGAGTATCAAAGAGCAGGAGAATTTATATGGAGACTTGATTACACACAGGTGCATTCTATTTATCATCATCAGTCATTTAGGACAAAATTTGATCATTCAAAGATCCTCACTGAACTTCTGGAGTGAGTTTGCTGCACTGAAAGTAAAGGGTCCGAATAATATTGCACGCCCCACTTTTCAGTTTTTTTTTTGTTAAAAAAGTTTCAATTATCCAATAAATTTTGTTCCATTTCACAATTGTGTCCCACTTGTTGTTGATTCTTGACAACATTTTTAATTTTTATATCTTTATGTTTGAAGCCTGAAATGTGGCGAAATGTTGAAAGGTTCAAGGGGGACGATCACTTTCGCAAGGCACTGTATATCAAGATGGTTCCAGTGAAGCACATTTTCCATTGATATATTTAAAGAATGGAAATCTCTGACTGCCACCCCCCCGACCAGAAATGGATTAAGGGGTAGAAAATGGATGGATGGATTGTTATTTTAAAAAAAAATCATGCTCTGAGAAAATAAACAGCAGAATTGATGCATTGAAGATTAATGTTGTAGCTCAAAATATATAGTTTCATATTATACAGTCATTGAGCGACAAGTTGACTTGACGTGACAGGCCTACATCCGGGTACTTTTTTAGTTTTTGTAAGAAAGTGGCCATACTTTTTGGAGCTCCTTCTCTGAAGCAAGTATATTCTCCATTCCAATCTTCTGATGACACAAGCTCATGATCCATTACAGTCTCATTCCCATTCAACTAAAACACAGATTTTTCATCCAAAAACATCCTTACATGCTGAGCCACACAGGGTCCATAGTTTGCATAATGACGGCGTAACAAACTTTTCTACATAAAATAAGATCATTTAATCTAATACTTTACTTATAGCCTAAACTTACATACTAAATAAATTACTTGGACTCAAGAGCTGCAAAAGCTATGGTAGCTGCATGGTTTGTTCTGTTTTTCTTTCAAATATTTATTGTGCACACCTATAGAGTACATTTCAGGAAGAAAAACACTTAAGTTTCTCTTTTCCATCTATATTCATAATACACACCAATAATACAGTGAGAGCCAAGTTCAGCCAATTCCAGTCTGATCTTGGCCAAAAGGAGCTCTTGGTTTATGTAAGTAATAACTATGCGCTCTGCGGCAGGTCATTTTCCTTCAAACAAGAAACCTTCTGCTGATACCACAAGTTTTTTTCCTTTTTAGATTTACCTAATGTTTGTGATTAGTTAGTTAGAGGAAAAATATATACGCAAATTATTCCGAATTTTAATTAGGACAAAAATAAATGCATGTTTGTACATTCTGAGGTCAATCGATTCTTTTGCTGTTTCTCCAACATCTCCTCCGGGGTGTCCTAATGCAGGGAGATGAGCGTTTTTATAACATTTAATTTACCTACATTTAATTTAAGTTTGTGTAAAAATTATGGAATTTTTATTGAATTTGTATTATTGAATGTCTTATCGAAGGCGTTGATGCTAGGCTTTAGGAGTTTATCGGTTTAGATTGTCTTGCGTCCATTTCCACAAAATGTTCAATTCAACTGAGGAAGTACCAAACCTATTCTAGTGATGTCATAGTGGTACAATGACATCATACTATTACAGGACTGAGACAGGAGCTTTTAGACAGAAGGCGCGGAGTTACATGTTAGTGCCGGAAGATCCTGGCAAGGCAAGGCAAGTTTAATTGTATAGCACAATTCATACACGAGGCTCCTGATATTAGCATATTAGCATGTTATGCATCTCTAAGTCTATTTTTAATTACGGAACAATATTATAACATGGTTAAAAGCTAAAATATGTGGGTAGCGTTGTCAGTTGTACACAAGCCCCGGTGATTCAAGATGGCGCCCTATTCAAATCAATGGCTTGTGCTCAGTGGCGCATGTGTCACCATGGTCACCAAAAGACCGCTGTGAACAAGATCCCATGATGCTTTGCGCCAAACAGCTGCTGATCAGAGTGGAGCTAGAGTGGGAGTTAGAGCGAGAGCCAAACAAGCAGTTTGTGGCACTAAAGTGTGGATTTAAAGACAACCGAAGGATTTAAGAAAAACAAAAGTCCAGGATGACACTAAAATCCCCACCTTTGTGAGAGCTGTAGGTTCTCTGTCAGCTGAGGTCGAGCAGCTGTTTTTGTTTACATTGAGTTCTATGGGGAAAACTTCTGGATAGCCCTCGTGAATTTAGTCTAGCTTAGTGTGCAGTACCGTGAGAATCCCCCGAGCACATGGGTCCTTCAGCTCCAAGCTAGTAATACCCCATCCAGATATTATTATAGATCCATGGTTGTACATTGTGTGCTGTGTAAAGAGCTGTTTAGTTGAACTTTTGTGAATGCTGTACTCTACACAATGCTGTACTCCACTGTGCCTGTAATTTTGTTGAAGTAAATCATTTTTGAGTGAGCACTTGTGATTGCCGTTGGTAATTAATAAAACATTTACTCTGTAGCCTGCTAAGCCATTACTAACTTTTTTCCTGGTTAGTGGCTGGTGTTGTGACTCCGCCCGCTCTGGGTGATTGACAGCTGCAGTACCAATCACACAAGGACAGTGTTTGCTCTGGATCAAAACAAACTTTTCAGATGCCTGAGACTTTATGTTCAAAAGCATAAAGTCTCAGTTTCTTCTGGAAAAAAGCCATCAAGGGCAGGAACTTAATAGTATCATCATCAATTTAATAGTAATAATTATAGTTTGTGAGCACTTGTGCAGATCAGGCGTGGTCCTGTTGTCATCGATATTCATGCAGTGATATATTGATGTATGTTTGAGTATAGTGCAATTGACCTTTGAACAGAAACCCCACGCAGCTAAACCTAATAACTCTGCTATCAGAAAGTCTATTCACTCAGCTTTGAATGCAACAATATGATTATAATGTATTGTGGTGCATATCAAAGGCTCTGTTAGTCTAATTCACACATGTTGCTCCTAAATTTGGTTCCTTCTGTAATTATGGTGTGAGGCTGTTAAAGAGCTTGAATCAACACACGCCTGTTATCAGAGGAGGTTATAGTCTCTGTAATTTATGACAGAACAAAGAAAATTCTATTATTACTCAGTGCAATACGATGCAAAAGTTCAGTACAGTACAATAATAATAATAGACATTTGATACATGTACAGACTGACAGACACAGAGCTGTTAGACTATATAACACCATCAGGTATACATTTATTTATATTTTTTATGGTTATCTATGTTCTCTTCTGTTGATGACCTAATGACTCTTTATAGCAGCTGAAGAACTTAATATCCTTCGGGATTAATAAAGTATTTCTATTCCACCCAATTACATTTTGTTAATGAAATTCTAAAACCAAATCAATAAGACTTAATTTTATCAGAGTGTACAATTTTAGTGTCAGAGCGCTTTAAAAATCAACCGTTTTGAAAAAAATGGTCCTGTGATCTTGTGTTCAGAGCCAGAGTTCCAGTTGAACCAACAAGTTAGATAATCAGTTTTTAAAATAAGTTCTTTATACATAAATGAACTGCAGTGTCGCTCTCCTCTAACAGACACCTTAGGGCCGACCTAACATTTTCTTAAAGTTACAGGGATTTAAAAAAAATAAAAAATGCAGTATTTTCTCTTATTTTCAATACAGTACAGGATAGATTGATAACCTTGACTTTGAACTAATAAACTATTCTGAAATGTGTTTTTTTTTAAAGATGAAAGACATGTGTTTCAAGCCAAAACCAGGTGCTTAATAAGATCTGTTTTATAGAGACACATTATTTTAGGCCTTTGTAAATGAAGTATCAAGGTGAACAAAGCTATCGGCCCTATATACCATATATTTACCCCTATTCTGACACCAGAGGAATGTGTAGAATTTATGTTGGTTTTTTTATTATTATATTTTTTTACTTTGAGAACAACCACAGAGAATGTACCAAAACAAATGAATGGGAAATACTTTCGTTTCAAAAGGCAGAAAACAGAGTCCAGAGTGTTTTGTCAACTAATGCGGCGTTCATTTGACCTCGGAAACTCTGAAGTTGTCTGAAGTGTTCTATTCCAAAGATAGAAAAGAACACTGCTCTTAAATGCATCTAGCAAACTCAGGCTGCAGGTCAATGGTCCCAGAGTCCCCTCATTTTGCGTCACTGTGGCACATGTCACATTGTAATTGGATGAAAGAAAAGAGACAAACTGAGAGTGGTTTATATCACACTGATGGTTTTATTCAACATGTTCAAGCAAAAGTGAATTTATGGCCACAGAAGCTTTGCAGAAATATTTAAGATTGTTTATGCAAGTTAAATTATAATGATTCAAAACACAGCTTCTCCCCCTTTGAGAAAATGTGTCACCCTGAGTTCAGAGAGAGTTGTTCAATCTTCGCAGTCGACCTCCAGAGGAGAGTGCAGGCTTCCGAGACGGAGAGCCATGTTTGATCAACAATCTTTCTCTTATAAAGCCATAAGCCTTTGGAACACTCTTTCAAACCAAATCGTCTCATGTACAGATTACAAAGTGTTAGAGTGACTAAGACATGGTTATTGTCACAACAAACCTGTATGCAGGTTTGTTGTTAGAAAGTAGCATCTCATGCTATAATCTGGCACAAGGGATCTCTTCTGTCATAGACTAATGTCAGTTGAGCACTGTTCCTGATCAAATAAACAACCAAATAAATCATAACAACAAGTCTGTTTAATTACAAGAGAAACATTTTAAAACAATGTTGTCACTCTGAAAAAGTTAATCTTGCAAAATATGTCTCCTTTAAACTATTAACTGTATTTTTTTGGGATCTTTACAGCTGAGGATGCTTTTAGGGACGAGTATTTATTTTTCTGATCTGTCTTTTCTTCTGTCTTTCAGCTACTTGAGCAACTTGGACCGCATTGCATCCTCAGAGTACATCCCTACAGAGCAAGACGTGCTGCGAGTGCGATTCCCAACCACAGGCATCCACGACTACTCCTTCACTATCAAGAAAATCACTCTCAGGTCTCGGACAGTTTATACACCATTGTGCATGAACAGTTTTTAATGCTGGGGTAACTAACTCTTCCTGTTTCACGAAAAACAAATGTCCCCACAGAAAGAGTCTAGTGAAAGTACACTGCAGAAATGGAAATCTTATTCTAGTCCAAACAACCAATCAGGAATCTGCAGAAGTGGCCAGTATCATCTCTATATAATTTTCTTTACAACATGTAACAAAAATGGCATTTTTAAATCAGTCTTCATCTTATTGGAAAACATGTTATTCTTTGCATACGTGGAAGACTGAGCCCTGTAAATCCCTAATGACACGTTGGACTGAAAGCTGATTGGCTGAGTGAGGGTGGTTCTCTGTTTTTCACTTGGGTTAGCTTTAGCGTCAAAAGTTGTTTTAAACAGATGATAGACATCTGTTTTAGAGACAGGAAGTAGGAGTTAGCTGGAAAATGTTTACAATGTGTTTTTGTTTGTGGTTTGAAAGTGACGCAGCCCATTATTTATGATTATTTTTCATATTTTGATGTATTCTGTAGGTTTAAAAAACTCCTGGTCACGGCGGGAGGGAAGATGAGCATTATATAAAAAAAGAAGAACCACATTTTTGTGAATTCTGTAAATTGCAAATTACCTGCTGTTCTTCTTAATACTAATGTACTGATAAAAAAAACTCCTGGTCAGAATATGCATGACCCAGAGATGCAACCCCCACTCCAGGCGTCACTGTAGTGTGACGCTTGAATCAGTGTCCGCATAAAAACTGTCATTTTAGAAAATAATTTAGAATGAAGCTGAATGAAATTGTAAAATGTCTTGGTCTTTGCAGGATTGTTGACGTGGGCGGTCAGAAATCAGAGCGCCGCAAATGGATTCACTCTTTTGAAGATGTCACGTCTCTCATCTTCCTGGCGTCTCTCAGTGAATACGATCAGGTCCTGGAGGAAAAAGACACTATTGTAAGAGCACTCAGACTCTAAAACTCCTAACTCTACCCAGGTTCATCAAGCATCTGTGATCTTGTATATGCATTTTTTCTTTCACCTTTTGCACTGTTTGACTTAAGATAAACCAATGCTTAAAAATCACACCACAAAAACATGCATTCTAAATGAGTTTTTAACAAACTAGGCTCCATTACCTTCCTAAAAGTGAAGGTTAGTTACTTTTCAAATTGTGAAGATGGAGAGAGCAGGCCCTGGGACTTCAAGATGTCTGCCCATTCAAACAAATGACCTGTACTCCCAGTATTGCGTAGTAGGTGCGGAGTGGTTCTGCTGCAGGACTAGAGTAGCACAGTAGCGCTGACTGTGGATCACTAAAATAAAGCATAAAACACAATGGACACATACTTATCTGGCTGACCAATACTTCAGAGGTAGTTGCCATCATATTCATGCATTCTTATAAAGCCCGAAATCACAGTTATCTCAGAGGACTTAACAAAACTGTTGAATTTGCATAGGACCATTGGTCCATAAGGGGCAGATGGCCAATGTCCATAAATGCAAAGGAAGGTTTCTCACCCATCATCTGTACTTCTTAGCAAGTTTTCCCGACGTTTCGTCCTCAACCTGGGGACTTCTTCAGGGAATGAATTCTCGGACCGCGCGTTGGAGATTTATAACCTATGGGTGTGGTAAGCCACACCCTAATCCTGATACTAACTCGTAAACAATCTCAGGTCTGCTTGATGTAGAAGGGAGCAGATCTAATGACCCTGCTGAGGCTAACGACCCTAACTCCTTAGCATGTCACAGACCTATTGTCTGCTGGGATGCTCAAGTGGAGTGCAGGTCTCACCCCTCCTAACTCATTAGCATGTCACTGACCTTGTCCCAAGTTAGGGCGTTGTTTTTAGGATGTCGTCATAGATGCGAGGCAAAACAAATCTTAACCCTCCTCCTCTGTTAAGAGAAGGTTTTTGTTTCCTCACAAAAATGGCTTCTTTCACTCCTCTCTCAAACCAATTCTTCTCCCGAGCCAGAATTTTAACCTCTGTGTCATCCACCGTGTGGTTGGAGGCCTTGAGGTGGAGATGAACAGCCGACTGTGGCCCACTAGAGTTTTCTCTACGATGTTGGTAAAGTCGTTTCTGTAGAGTTTGTTTGGTTTCTCCAATATAGTGGTCAGTGCACTCCTCTTCACTACATTTAATTGAATACACCACATTGCTCTGTTTGTGTCTGGGTGTTTTGTCTTTGGGATGCACTAATTTCTGTCTTAACGTGTTGAAAGGTTTGAAATACACAGGGATTTTGTGTTGCCTAAAGATTCTTTGTAGTTTCTCTGAAACTCCCGCCACATACGGTAAGGACACCCCTCTCCTCCTACTTTCTTCTGTCTGTAGGACTGTGTCTCTGGCCTTTCTCGTCCTTTGGGCTTTAGTAAAAGACCACTTGGGGTAGCCACATCTGGAAAGTGCTCTCTGAACATGTTTGGTTTCTCTGTTCTTTCCCTCCGAGCTAGTGGGGACCTGGTGGGCTCGGTGTTGAAGCGTTCTAATGACCCCGAGTTTGTGTTGTAGCGGATGATTTGAATCAAAGGCCAAGTACTGGTCAGTGTGAGTGGACTTTCTGAAGACCTCAGTCTCTAATTGTCCGTTCTCCAGTATGATAACCTTACAATCTAGAAAGGCGAGTTCACTCTCCTTAGCATCCTCGCGAGTGAAATTTATAAAAGGGTCCACCGAGTTAATGTGTTCTGAAAATGGTTCCACTTCCTGTTTCTTTAACTTAACCCATGTATCGTCTACATATCGAAACCAATGGCTTGGCGCTGTCCCTTGGTAAGAGCCCAGGGCTTGTTCCTCCAGTTTCTCCATATACAGATTGGCCACTATAGGAGAGACTGGGGAGCCCATCGCACAGCCATGAATCTGTCTAAAGAAGGTGCCTCTAAATTGGAAATACGTGGTGTTAAGACACATTTCAAGTATTTCACAGATGTGGTGAGCTGTTAGTTTCGTTCTCTCCCCTAGTGTGGCGTCTTTCTGTAGGCTTTCTCTTACAGCCTCCACCGCCTCTGTAATAGGAGGCGGTGGAGGCTAACATGGGTTAAGTTAAAGAAACAGGAAGTGGAACCATTTTCAGAACACATTAACTCGGTGGACCCTTTTATAAATTTCACTCGCGAGGATGCTAAGGAGAGTGAACTCGCCTTTCTAGATTGTAAGGTTATCATACTGGAGAACGGACAATTAGAGACTGAGGTCTTCAGAAAGTCCACTCACACTGACCAGTACTTGGCCTTTGATTCAAATCATCCGCTACAACACAAACTCGGGGTCATTAGAACGCTTCAACACCGAGCCCACCAGGTCCCCACAAGCTCGGAGGGAAAGAACAGAGAAACCAAACATGTTCAGAGAGCACTTTCCAGATGTGGCTACCCCAAGTGGTCTTTTACTAAAGCCCAAAGGACGAGAAAGGCCAGAGACACAGTCCTACAGACAGAAGAAAGTAGGAGGAGAGGGGTGTCCTTACCGTATGTGGCGGGAGTTTCAGAGAAACTACAAAGAATCTTTAGGCAACACAAAATCCCTGTGTATTTCAAACCTTTCAACACGTTAAGACAGAAATTAGTGCATCCCAAAGACAAAACACCCAGACACAAACAGAGCAATGTGGTGTATTCAATTAAATGTAGTGAAGAGGAGTGCACTGACCACTATATTGGAGAAACCAAACAAACTCTACAGAAACGACTTTACCAACATCGTAGAGAAAACTCTAGTGGGCCACAATCGGCTGTTCATCTCCACCTCAAGGCCTCCAACCACACGGTGGATGACACAGAGGTTAAAATTCTGGCTCGGGAGAAGAATTGGTTTGAGAGAGGGGTGAAAGAAGCCATTTTTGTGAGGAAACAAAAACCTTCTCTTAACAGAGGAGGAGGGTTAAGATTTGTTTTGCCTCGCATCTATGACGACATCCTAAAAACAACGCCCTAACTTGGGACAAGGTCAGTGACATACTAATGAGTTAGGAGGGGTGAGACCTGCACTCCACTTGAGCATCCCAGCAGACAATAGGTCTGTGACATGCTAAGGAGTTAGGGTCGTTAGCCTCAGCAGGGTCGTTAGACCTGCTCCCTTCTACATCAAGCAGACCTGAGATTGTTTACGAGTTAGTATCAGGATTAGGGTGTGGCTTACCACACCCATAGGTTATAAATCTCCAACGCGCGGTCCGAGAATTCATTCCCTGAAGAAGTCCCCAGGTTGAGGACGAAACGTCGGGAAAACTTGCTAAGAAGTACAGATGATGGGTGAGAAACCTTCCTTTGCTTTGACTAATCCCTGTACGACTGAGGGCTTACACAAACTTAATGTCCATAAATGTTGATAAATGTCCATTAATGTTGTTGAATGTTGAGTATCTGAGATCCTCAACACTGTCCTTTTAGTTTGACCCAGACAAGGGTCCAACAGACCAAGGAACAACACTAAAGGCCAATGAGAAACCTCGGGGAGGTCCACATTAAAAGAGGGATCCGCTCCCACAGACGGGCTAAAGATCTATCTATCAATTATATTTTCAAATTTTTCATTGAGAACTCTCCATATCGCAACTCAATTAAGTGTAAAGTGGAATTACGTAACTGATTTACATTTCCTTTCTGAGGATTTCCAAATTAAATATAAAACATTCACAAATAATATTCATAAAAAGATGGAAAGAACGGCAGTTTAAGTGATCAATGTGTGTTGCTGGCCCCAACCAGCAGATGGCGCCCTTGCACCATTACATTTCTGGAGTATTTCTCTTCTGAGCTTTTCATGACCTGTTCACCAACATGACCCTGTCCTCCTCCCCAGGCCTCTCTTACCCACTTTTCTAAAACAAATGACCATGTTTCCATCTCTCCACATACAACTGTGTGTAGGATTGTGTGCAGTTATCTCTGTGCTGTGTGTCTTCAGAACCGCATGACTGAGAGTTTGTGCCTGTTCTCCACCATCATCCACTCGCCCTGGTTCCTCAGCACCTCCATCATACTGTTTCTCAACAAGACTGACATCTTAGCTGACAAAATACAAACTTCGGACTTGAAGAAATACTTCCCCAACTTCCCTGGTAAGACCTTAGCGTTTCTATATTTCAGAAGGAAGTGGGGGACATATTTTGATTAAAAGATGATACATTTGTGACAAAAATAGGAATTGACATATTATGGGCACCGACCAATATTGATTGAAATATCGGCCGGTTTTCCAAATTAAAAAAACCAAACAACAACAATAGTGAAACACAACACAACACGTTTCAGTCAACTGCACAATAGTCCATTTACTGTATCTGTTTGATTCATTTAGTTTATTTACTCAATTAACAGTGGCTCAGTTGGTAGAGCATTGGCCTTTGAGCCTGAAGGTTGTGGGTTCGAGTCCACCACAAGACCTACTTCACGACTCCCACTGATGACTGCTGTTGTGTCCTTGGGCAAGACACTTAACCCCACTTTGCCTGAAGCTCCCACTGAAAGATCTCAGCTCCTGTGGACTCACCACCTGCAGGAGGATCAGTGAGGGGCTGGTGCTCTGTGGACTGGGTGCTGCTCTGACTGCCAGAAATGGATTAAGGGGAAGAAAATAGATGGATACTCAATTAATTTAGAGAGCAGATATACCTGGGATATCTCTAAAAATCTGCAGTGATTCACATCCAGTCTTTACAGAGCTACCATTTGTGTCCAATTGTCTATTTGTTTTATCTAATAAGCATATTCTTCAGATATTTAAACAAAGTTAGGTGTTCGAGTTTGTAATATTCATAATTTCGAATTTTTTACTGCAAGTGAATATTTGCTCTTGATTTGATTGGATTTATTTCAAGCTTATGAACAGGAATACAATTTATAGAATTTACAGGATTTACAAAGTATAGATTATAGAAACATACATACGTACATACATTTAAGGGTTTCCTTTTTTTCACTCCTGCAGAAGCTCAAAGAGGAGTCAAACTCATAAGCTCTCGTCCCCTGTATCTAAATTCAGAGCAGAGAGGCCAACACTCTCTCCAGCCTCTCAACAGCTTCATGCGCTCTCTTTGACTTCAAGTAGAGCAGATATTCACCCTTGTGACTGCCGCACTCCACCTTAAAGGCTCTTAAAAATACTATATTGGTCAACTTCTACAAACAAAAAAATGATGCTTTGATTATATTACGTTTGAGAAATCTCGGGTCGCTTGTTTTAGTCAGAGCACGGTGCCAAGTGCAGTTCTCACACACTTGAGGTCACTTATTTAGCACAGATATAAGTTATAGTAAAAGGATTAGCTGCACATCGGTGTGGACTGGCCGTATAACCTGCATTGTAAATCTTTTGATATTTGTATTCTTTAAAATGGTGGACCAATATTATTAATAGTAACAATGATTATGGTTATAATTATAATATGAAGCTGTAGATGACAATATCTTCCCATAGCAGACACCCGGTCGTCAGCCTCACCTCAGCCTTTTCACTGGATCCGTTTCCCATGGCAACCCTGGTCAAATACCGCACTTGGTCTCGCCACCCCCCCCCCCACGAACCCTGCCGCGTACATTTGAGAGATGGAAAATAACAGGCTCTAATTATTTGTGTTGTGTTTTAGTTTCCAAATAATGACTTCAGGGTTGAGGCTCTTCATGTCAGTTTAACCTGAACAGACTTTTAAGACATCCTGCTTCCTGCTTGATTGGCTGTTAGTGGTTCTGTATGTCCTGAAATAGCAAAGAAATATCATTATTTAACTTGAAGTGGTTCAACAAACAAATAGAAATACAAATACTGTCACATTATTCCAGGAGATGTTTTCTAATTAACCTTTTGCAAACTAGTGATAACGTATTCAAAAGGATGGACCTCCGTAATAAGCAAAAGTGAAGGAACAGCTCAATAATAATGAAAACAACTCTAATGCTCCACACGATAGTATCTTATTGTGTGGAGCATTAGAGTTGTTTTCATTATTGCATTATTATTTTGTTTCTATTATTTTTGATAACTAAAATAGTTAGTATAGACAATTATTGAAAAAAACGTAATTAGTTGTGATTAATTGCTTCAGCACTGAAATATGTATTGGAATAACCAAAGAGCAGCATGTACTGGCACAACGCAAACCTTTCATGAGAATCTTCCCTCATTGTTTCGCATAGTTAATGAGACCAAATGTTTCATTGTGTGCAAAGAATTGATCTTGAAAATGTCAAAAACTACAATTAGTGGGGTCTGAAGGGGATAATCTTTTCTAAATCTGCCTTTAATTTCAATTGGTAAAATTGCCGGAAGTTCCCACAAACCTTTATACTGTGCTCTATTGGCAGGACCATGATGATCATGAGACAGGAAATGCTGAGGGCTGTCTAATCTGTATAATCTAATGCAGATTTATTAGTTTTATTGATTAAAATCCAAAATCTAATACTGTCATAATAATGTCTTTAGTTGCAATAAGATAAGATAAGATAAACTTTATTGATTACACAATGGAGACATGGTCACATTTGGCATAGATAGAATCACTCAGAAACTCAAGGCTCCTGTGGACTCAGCACCTGCAGGAGGATCAGTGAGGGGCTGGGTGCAGCTCTGACTGCCACCCCCCCCGACCCAGAAATGGATTAAGGGGAAGAAAATGGATGGATGGATGGATGGATAAGAATCACTCAGATTGTGCAAAAATACAGACGTGTGCAACATGTTAAGGTTAAAAATATAGTTTGTGCAGGATATAATTATGTACAATAGCAGTGCTGGTTCTTCAGGCCGAGTGCAGGTCATTAGTGACTCTATAGAATCTATAGAGATGCTGCATGACTCTAAAGTCAGATTTGTATGATTTTCTGATACTTTAATTGGTGGGAGAATACAGTATGTGCTGTAAAGACAGACGTTAAAGGCAACCAACATTTAGAGGACATTTTAAAAAGCTAATTATTGGACATTTAAGATAACAATTTGGTGTTTAATGTCAAACAGCAAAAAGTCAAATTGAATTGAATAAGACTGTGTTTTGTACAGTACATATCAAGGATGAATGAGTTCTTTAAGACGTTGATGCTTGAGGTTATTCCAAAACATATTTCAGTGCTGCAGCAAGTAATCACAACTAATGAAAACTTTTTTTTTTTAAAGTGTCAACTATTTTAGTCATTAAAGATAATTAAGAGAGATACAGAGTCGTAATGCAACTCTAATGCTCCACACAATATTTTCTTATCGTGTGGACTGAACTGTTGTTCCCACTAACACAGCTACAGATAAATCAGAAGAAAATGTATGAACGGAGGTTTTGCCATAAACATGATTGATTGACAGCTACACACTTAAAGGTGTCCGACCAGAATGAGTTCTGCTTTGAACATTGAGTGAGTGTGTAAAACAGCTGCTTTTCTCCCTGCACAGGTCAGAGGCAGAGCGTGGAGGATGCAAAGACATTTATCAAGAAAATGTATGAGGAGCAGTCCGTCAACAAGACCCTGTACCCCCACTTCACCTGCGCCACGGACACCCACAACATCCGGACGGTTTTTGAAGACGTAAAAGACACGGTTCTGCTCAAGTCACTGGGAGACTACGGCATTCTATGAACAAGTCGTACTGCTCAGACTGGAGGTTGAAATGAAACATGAAGGATTTCAATGAGACTTTTGAGTTATAGATGCTCTCTTTTCCATTTTGACGTGATATGATTTGAAGACTGTCGATTCATATCACGATTTGTGACGACGAAGGACGTTACAATTGTATTTGCTCGTAAGTCTGTCGCATCAGAGGAATTAGGATGCTCTTTGTAATCACTGCCTTTGTTTGGATAATTATACTGAGTGAACGAAGCAACACACATAAACAGACAATGAGAATACTTTGAATATCTGAAGAACTTTAATGTCCTCAATAAAAGCCAACTTTATGGTTGCTGAATGTTTTGTCTTCAATGCCAGGATCTTCATCTTTGAGCTATAGGAATATGTTTGATTATCTCCGATTTATTTGCCCATTCAGATTGTCTCTGGTAATCTATGTATATCTGGACAAAAATCCGGATTAAGACCAGGGCCGTGTTTTGAGGCTAGAAAGTCATAGGCATATGTCGACAGAAAGACATTTCCTTGGTAGTAAATCAGCCACCAGTTTCCTAGAATGTTCTATCTCCAGTGACTTTTCTTTTATACATGTGTCTTGTTTTGACCATAAAGTAGTTTTTAGGGCATTTTGTAGAAATGTACAACGAAGTGTAAGGGTCACCCAATATTTTTTCCGCTGTGAGATTTAGTCCGAATTTTTGGACCATAAAGTCGACCTGGACAAAGAACACAAACATACAGAGGTTTAGTCCTTAGGGAGAAGAGAAGATGTGGTTGAAGCTGACTATCTCTGTCCTGCTCCAAACACACCATCTTTATTTACGTGTAAACATTAACCTTTTTATGGACAAACGACTTCACAGACTGCCACATTGGGCCAAAGACTTCAAGAGAGACCTCATGAGATTATTTCAATTTGGAGAGACGAGAAACGAAAATGGTTATGAGTATTTATTGAGGTGGTTTGGCGCCCTAGGCCCTGGTGCGGCCTTCAGATCGGAGAGGCTCCTGCGATGGAGCGCGTACAATCCCCCGGGACCTAGGCGCAGATTGGAGGCAGATTGGAGGCAGATTGGAGGCAGATTGGAGGCAGATTGGAGGCAGATTGGAGGCAGATTGGAGGCAGATTGGAGGCAGGGTGAAGAGGAGGAGGAGGGGAGGCGGTGGTTGCGAGGCTTCGAGAAGGCCGAGAGTGGGAGTTGCTCCGCTTTTAAGCGGCTGCCTGTCCGGCACGGATGATTGGAAGGGGGCGTTTGCTGAGCGATAGGCTGGGGAAGCGAACCGGCCTGGAGGGAGTAGCTTTTGGCTGACGTCTACCAAATTGAATTTTCGCGAGCTACATTTCAATTTGGAGAGACGAGAAACGAAAATGGTTATGAGTATTTATTGAGGTGGTTTGGCGCCCTAGGCCCCGGTGCGGCCTTCAGATCGGAGAGGCTCCTGCGATGGAGCGCGTACAATCCCCAAAAAGGCTGTGTGTGTTGATGGAGTTTTGCAGCCTGGTTTGCAGGGAACAGACGTCGTGGCTACTCTATGCTGTGACCGCTATCGCTATGCTGTGACCGCTATCGCTATGCTGTGACCGCTATCGCTATGCTGTGACCGCTATCGCTATGCTGTGACCGCTATCGCTATGCTGTGACCGCTATCGCTATGCTGTGACCGCTATCGCTATGCTGTGACCGCTATCTCTATGCTGTGACCGCTATCTCTATGCTGTGACCGCTATCTCTATGCTGTGAACCGTTTTGCGCTAACCATTTTTTGCTATGCTGTGACCGCTAACACTAACGCTATGACCGCTACCACTGACGCTATGACCGCTATCACTGACGCTATGACCGCTATCACTGACGCTATGACCGCTATCACTGACGCTATGACCGCTATCACTATGTGCTGTGACCATTATATGCGGTTATCTTTGAGTGCCGGGACGTGAGCGCTCGCATCACGATCAACCGGACGCTGCGGCAGGGTTATCTTTGAGCGCTGGGACGTGAGCGCTCGCATCACGATCAACCAGACGCTGCGGCAGGGTTATCTTTGTGCGCTGGAGACGTGAACGCTCGCATTACGTTCCGTCAGACGCTGCGGCAGCGGAGAGTGTTTGAGAGAAATGCGTGCCGCCACCAGAATCTTATTGGTTCACTTACTTTGTTTGAGATGAAGGTTGAAAGGGTCAGGGGACATAATGTTGGGTGAAAGAGAGCGACCTTTGTGTAAGCTTCCACTACGTCGAGATTATCACACATGACCGAGATCCTCTTTCTCCGCCACGCGTGATTCCACAGCGCGCAGGCCACGACCACTGGGAATATCTCGTGTAGGGCAGAGGAGATGCTCCGGTGGAAAGTAGCGGCCACGGCCCGGCAACCCAATGGTCCTGGAAGAATCCCCCAAAACCCACAGAAGGGGCACGTCCGTGTAGAAGCGGAGACCTGGAGGGGCAGAGACATGTCGGAGAGGGCCATTGATGTTGCAGGCGCCCTTACGCTTAGAATCTTGGGTTGGAGAGTAGGTAATCAGGACAGTAGGAAGGTCGGGAAAAGCCGTGTCTCGGACCGCACGAAGGTTGAGTGAGCAGTAGTAAAACGCTTAAGCAGAGAAGCCATGGAAGGCGAGCAGGAAGATGCTGCGAGGAGGGCAGACATGTACCTGGAAGATGAGCCGGAGTTCAGTGCCGCTGCAGGATGGGCAGCGTGATTGGGAGCCTGCGATCAGAAGAGTGAAGAACACAGGTATGGATGCCTTTGATTAGGAGTCCGATTGACGGCTCAGCGCAGCTACTCGGCCAGCTGCATCTGATAGAATCGGAAGATTAAGTAGAGAGATGAAGCATGACCGCCGAAGCGACCCTGGGAGCACAGGTGCGAGTCCAGTGCAGCGCGGCATACTCTGCCGGGCTGCCTCCATTAGAAGCAGGATAAGCTTCTGAGAGAGTGGGTTGCAGCAGTAGCAGTAGCAGCAGCGGCAGCGGCAGTAACCTCAGATAATAACGGCAACGACCTGTATCAGCCGCGGCAGCAGCAGCTGCAGCATCCGTAGATAATAACGGCAAAAACCCTGTATCAAAGCCACGGCAGTAGAATATGTTGTAGCTGTTTAGTGTTTCAGTAAGAGAAGCGAAGTGAAGAGAGATGACGAAGTACAGGAAGCAGCAGCAGCACGGCAGTAGTAGCAGTATGAAGCAGCAGCGGCAGCAGTAGCAGCAGTAGCGGTAGCAGTATGAAGCAGCAGAAGCAGCATCAGCGGGAGCAGCAGCACCACGAAGCGATTCATACGAACAGACAGACGTGTCGCGCCAGTGTGCGCTGCTTGTCTCCATGAGCCAGGTTACATACGTGTCTGGAAGAGCCGAGCCACAGAGACAGGTGCAGCCTGGGAGCCTGCGGAACGGCAGCGGCACATGTAGTAGTAGAGCAGCAGGAACAGGCAGCAGGGACAGACGGCAGCAGGAGCGGCAGCAGGAACAGGCAGCGGCAGGAGCGGCAGCAGGAAGGGCGGCGGCGGGATCGGCATCAGTAGGAACGGCAGCGGGGACCGGCAGCAGCGGCGGTCAGAGAACCAACCCACGGTTGTTTAACAGCCTGAGGAAATAAATCAACCCGAATCCGAAACATTCCCATGCGAATAACAGACGTCCCCTGGAGCCATCTTCTGCTTTGGTTATGGCAGATGCGCATGAACGATCACTGATCCATGCGTTCATAGCTCCAACACTACTTCACACCCATTGCAGATTCACGTTCGGCCCTTTTTCTTCCTGCTGCACTTTCAAAATGCAACACTGCAGTTAGTTACCTAATTTAATACCAGCGACCTAGCTATTTAATGCATGGTTTTACTGCAAGTGGCGGAACATGATCTGAATAATGCACATAGCTCCTCGTATATCCCTCAGACGATAGAGATTGATGCCATTTAATATGCATTGCCCCTCAGTTAGCTCAAACACATGTGAAACGGAGCCTGCAGACCAAGCTCGGGGCGAAAAAACTGGCGCCTGCAGTCAAGTGCGTAGGGCAAAAACCAATCGCCTGCAGCCTAGACTCCGGGATTAATCTGTCCGCGGTCGGCACACTCACTGTACTCACATGCCAGGAGACTTGGGAAAGCAACGGGACAACGCGGCACCGCCAATCGAGGCAGGGACACGCACGGCACCGCCAGACCTTCTGCGTGCGGCAGCAGACCACAAGGAACGAGCCGCACAGAAACCCGCGGAGGGCCCCGCGGAGCAGCCCGCAGAAAGAGCCCGCAGAGGAGGAGAGCAGTGGGGATATGCGAACCACAGCAGTGCAGGGACGTGGAAGAGGAGCAGACCAGTGCAGGGACGCGGAGGAGGAGCAGACCAGTGCAGGGACGCGGAGGAGGAGCAGACCAGTGCAGGGACGCGGAGGAGGAGCAGACCAGTGCAGGGACGCGGAGGAGGAGCAGACCAGTGCAGGGACGCGGAGGAGGAGCAGACCAGTGCAGGGACGCGGAGGAGGAGCAGACCACAAGCAGCCAGACGGAGGACGCCAGGGACACGCCGAGTAGCGTGAGTAGACGAAAACGATTCCTCCAGACGATTCTCTGCAAGGCTTCAGGAGCATGCGAGGCTTCGAGAAGGCCGAGAGTGGGAGTTGCTCCGCTTTTAAGCGGCTGCCTGTCCGGCACGGATGATTGGAAGGGGGCGTTTGCTGAGCGATAGGCTGGGGAAGCGAACCGGCCTGGAGGGAGTAGCTTTTGGCTGACGTCTACCAAATTGAATTTTCGCGAGCTACATAACAATAATTATCACCTTCACCTGCTCTATCCCAGCCGCAGGTAAAGGAGCTGCGACTGAGACACAATAGCGTCATAACCCATGGTGCAGACACTCACAGTTCATAACAAATAACACACGGTTACATTGGGTCATCAGTGTAAGAGTGTATGAAAGCATAAAACCACGTAGAGCTTCAGTGAACGCTGGACGACGGGTCTCTGTTCATTTAGCTTGTATTTTTGCTTTGTAC